TCAAATAAAAATGCTCAGAAACGGCTTGTTTTGTTGGTTCAGAGGGTCAAACGGTGAGACATCTGCAGTTTTCTAGCTGAACGGAGGAATGATTCAGAGGCTGTACCGTCATAAGCTGCACAGGGTGAAGCATTAGGCACACAAGTAAAGACATCTGGTTAAAATGTGTTTCAAATCTATGAATATGTTCATGATAAGTCTCCAATAAAACTGATGATCTTGCTGTTATGTATAAATATGCAACTCTTGTCATATCCTTCATTCCTGTAAGGTGCTGTTTGTCTCGGCTGACTTATTGACTTTTTTTGGAGCATTTTTTAGGAAATCTGATAAGTTGAACCATCACCTGTTTTTGTTTTTTTCAACAGTACACAACATGAGCTGCAGTTTTACCTTCTCCTGAGCTGCAGTGGGGTCTGTGATGATTTCCCCCTCTGTGTTGATGGCACAGGTAACTCCACAGAAGAGGCAACTCATGGGCAGCCCTGCATCCATAAGAGCCATGCAGGCAGCATTCAAACAGCAGGACAAGAGCTGAGGAACAGGTCAGGAGGAACACTCGCCCAGAAATAAAACACCACTTCCACGCACATCAACATCACACAACAGCGGCGGCACAGCTTCAGTGAAGGATACCGAACCGTCATCGTGCAACACTTGAAGAACGAGAGTGAGCGCCGAGCGGGGATGAAGAGACAAGAGCAGCGACGCTTCGCAGGTCTCCCGCACACACTGCTCTTGTGATCGCTCTCGTACACCTAGGAAACGAAATAACCGTTGGGATACAGACTTGGTGGAGGCTGAAAAACTAATGGCTCAAATGTCCCCCCTTGTGGTGAGTTGTGGTACAGTTTTTATAACTTAACAGACTTCCAAACAACTCTTCATTTCCACTAATGAAGGATGTGAGTAAGTAGAAAATACATTTACATATATTTTGATCTTTCTTGTTTCATTTTTATCCTTGATAGTTAGATTTTTCTAATATGATTGCTTTACAAAAAGGCTTAAACTGTCCACATCACATTAAAAACCCAATAAACAAATTAAACAAAGATGCATAGTAGAGAATTCTTCTTTCCTCAGAGGACAACTTACTTGGCAGTCCCACTTTGGGCTGTACCAACACCTCAAGAGTTGCCCGGTCATAGATTTCCTTGCTGACTTTAACCTCTGCTGGTCCGTACACTCCCGCCATCACGCTTGTGTCACCTTTAGAGAAACACAAATGGTGGTATTATCAAACAAAAAAACACAACATTAATCCAGGAGGGGAAATTATGTTTTTGAGCCCAACGGAATAGAGACAACAAGCGGGGAGAAATGTTTCTACTGCAGATGGATCGTCTGAGATGTAGGTGAGGACAGAAACCAATAAAAGTAGTGACATCAAATCATTTAAAGCAGAATGATTAAAGCTAAGCGCTAACAGATGCTCAGACCACAGTGTGTTTTTGTGGAGAGGAGGCTTACTGAGAAACAAGTTCCAAATATGAACAGCTTAATTCACAGTAATGGAAATGTGGTGCCTCCCTGTTCCAAAATGACTGCAGTTGTTTCTATTGGGGCACAAAAACATCAGCTCTGTGTCCGCCTCACGGTGTTAAAACGCAACATTTATTGGAAATTAGTAATGTTATGTTAAATTCTCACCAGGTAGGATGTAGGCCTATTGGTGTTCAGCTCCTTATCACCCACTAAACAAGAGGAAACACTACAGGGAGAATAATCGTAGCAACTGGACTTGCTTGAGTTCGTTGAAGACGTTTCACCTCTCATCCAAGAGGCTTCAACAGCTGTGACCGACGAGTTGGGAGATCCAGATATCCTAAGGAGCCATGAACACCTGAGTTTCGGTTTCAATTGGGGGCAGTTACTCCTTCCTCTCATTATGTGAGTCGTTAGTGCTCCCCCGCAAAGGGTTCGTGTTAACAGCTCCTTAGGATATAAGTATCTGGAACTCCCAACTAGTCAGTCAGAACTGATGAAGCTTCTTGGATGAGAGGTGAAACGTCTTCAGTGAACTCAAGCAAGTCCAGTTGCTACGATTAATCTACCAGAATAACCACGACCTGGATGACTGAGAATCTTCACAGACACTACAGGGAGAAAACACACAACTGAGGACACTTAATCTAGTTGTAAAAAATAAACAAATACAAAAGATGACATATTCATACTACAGCTACAGGGTTTTTTCTTGCTTAAAATGGGCCTGAATGGGGGATTTGGGGTGACTACACATGACCATAAGCATGACTGGTCTGAGTACAGTAACAACAATGACTCTGTGTTGTATCTGACAAAAATCTATGTTTCTTGTTATTTATGACCATTTTAGAAACATTAACATCTACTATGCCTGAGTAAATGAAACCCCAGTTAAGAAAATCGGTTAATTACATTTTATTATTATTATTATTATCTTAGCACTGCTGATTTTCCTTTGGCACTGGGTAACCATCTTAGGGATTATTAATGGATGATACATTTTTCACTCCATTTCTTTTACACTGAAAATGAATATTCATATTTTGAGTTATTTCTCCTGGACAACAGCAAAGGTCTTCATCTGGCAGCAACAATCGATACTGAACAGGAACTGCACCTATTGGAGAACAAACACAGTTCACCTGTAGCTTGTGCTAGTACTGATTTTATAAGAGTAATTTAATGTCACCAACTGCAAGTGGCGAATAATCAAATTGATTTTTATTTGCAAAAACTGCAAAACAAGAAAATCTTTTGAGACGTTTAAAGAGATTCTTGAATTTTGTGCCCGCTTCCGATTTTGAGTATAGGGTGCAATCTTTAATTTAAAGCAATTCATAAATATGTAAGTTAGATTACCTTTTTTGCAGTACAATAGGCTAGGTTGCTAATTTTAAAAAATAAAAAAAAAGAAGAAATTTAACTTGTATTCAGTAACTGACTGCACCTCAGGGTAATCAGAAACAACGCTTCTGCCAAATTATAATTTATCTGTACACATCTGCTCCCTCTTCTTCCAGCTTTGAGGAAAAAAACACCTTAAACTTCACATATTATTTGACGTTAGTAAAAATCCTCCCACATTAATGAAGACTTCAGCTTCACGAGTAATATGAGGACATGTGTAGTTTGCCCTTAAGTTACGTTTAGAGCCAAAAAAACAAATACAGGCTCCGCTGAAGGGTTTTGTAGTTTTATTATTACCTTGTACGAAGGACGACGAGCCGTCAGGTCGAGACAGTAAACTCTGTTCACATCCAAACTCTCTGAGAGAAACGCTTGAAGCCTCGCAGACCTCCATCATGCTGCTGCACCGCGGAGAAGCCGTCCGTCGCAGGCTGATGACGTCATCTGTTTTGCAGGAAGCTTTCTTCTTCGTCTGTTTTGTTTCTGTCGGCGAATTTCACTTTAAAATTTTTATACCGGAAGGTGTAGTTTCATGGCATCATCTGACTAATAGTTGATTTATTTTTAACACTAAACATAATATAGGTATATAAAGGACAAAAAAAAAACTTTATCTGGTTTTACACTGTAATGTTGTGAAATCCACAATAAGCTATCAAAGATTTGCTCACAGTTTGTTAATTTTTTGCAGAATGAGCGTTTTATTTCCACTTTCTGGCAGTTTTATATGTTATTGTTTGCTGAATTATGAATTATTGTTTAATGAATTATCAGGACCAAATATATTTACAGTTTCTTATATGCATGTTCTTCAAAATCTAAAAATCTATGTCCTTAGTCATCAACAACTATGATGCTCTTGGTGTTTCCTTAATCGGAAACCTGATTGATCATTTCAAAACAAATATTCGTTTTTCAAATGTATTTGTTTATTTTTATTTTTTAACACATTTTTTACGGTGTATATGAGGTACTGGAATGTAAAGGCTTCAATGCTATTGTTGCTTCTTCAAGCACAATTTGTGCCTGATTATCTCTGGGGAAAAAAGCTCACAGTCGATTATACTTTATCAGGAGCTGACACACGAAAAAAATACAGGCACAGTTTCAGATGGCACCACAGTTTAATACATACATTAGTTTGGAGTCAGTTTGTCAAAATAAATGAAGAAAAAACAGCTAGACATATTCGTTTTGTGTATTGTTGGCTGTGTGTAGAAGTTTTTTTATCCTGAAAACGATTTTAAAAAGCACAATGCATGTTGTGGTACATGAGACATCTGCGGTTCACTGCAAAGCACCAGTGATTTTTACAAGCTGGTGTAGGATGACAAAAGGTGTCAAGCAAGGTCCAAAGTTGAGTGAGAGACTATAATCTGCATCAGATTACTGTCATCAATAGTTAACTAATGAAAGCTGTGGATGACACAGAGAGCAGTTTATTATTATCATAAACAAACCTGACAGCATTGCAGCCAGGATGCCATTACAGGGTGTGAGACCTGCAACTAAACAACGCTTACTTGGAGGAATGTATATGGCAAGCTGAAGGGAAATTACATTTGGTGAGTCTTTTGTTTAAGAACAATTTAAAGCAAATGACTGAGAGAGTTCTTCTAGAAAACTTCCTGAGCTGCCACGTCTGCTCAGAGACTTTCGGAGATCCTGTGTCTCTGAGCTGCAACCACAGCTTCTGTTCAAGTTGCCTGCAAACATTCTGGGAAGAAGCTAAAAACAAAAACTGTCCCATCTGTAAAAGAAAATCCTCGAAAACGAATCCTGCTGTGAACTTTGCACTGAAGGAACTGGCTGACTCCTTTGCTGGGAGACAGAAAGCTGGATCATCTGAGACAGATAAGGGGGAGACTAAAGTGGATGTGGTGTGCAGTAAACACTCGGAAGAGACTAAACTGTTCTGTGAGGACGAGCAGAGACCTGTGTGTCCTGTCTGTGAGTTTTCTCTCCATCAGAGTCACAAAGTGGTTCCTATAGAAGAGGCAGTCAGTCACCTGAAGGATCAGCTGAAATCTGACCTAAAGTCTCTAAAGGACAAGAGGGACAAATACAAAAAAGTAGAGAAAACATACAATGACGTGATTCAACACTCCAAGAAGCAGCTGTTGTCCACAGAGAGGCAGATCAGAGCAGAGTTCAACAAGCTCCACCAGTTCCTGAAAGACGAAGAGGAGTCCAGACTGGCAGCTCTGAAGGAGGAAGAGGAGCAGAAGGGGAAGACTATCAGCACAGAGATGAAGAGGATTCAGGAGCAGATCTCCTCTCTGTCAGACAGCATCTCTGCTGTTGAAGAAGAGCTGCAGAAACACAACGTGCTGTTTCTCAGCAGCTATAAATCCACTCAGAGCAGAGCCAGAGCCCAGAGCTCGCTGTCGGATCCACAGCTGCTCTCAGGAGCACTGATAGATGTGGCCAAACATCTGGGCAACCTGTCCTTCAGAGTCTGGGAGAAGATGAAGGAGAAGGTCTCCTTCAGTCCTGTTATTCTGGACCCAAACACTGCACACCCCCATCTCTATCTGTCTGATAATCTAACCAGTGTGAGACTTGGAGATACAAAGCAGGAGCTTCCTGACAATCCAGAACGACACACAACTTATTTAAGTGTTCTGGGTTCTGAGGGCTTCAGCTCAGGGAAACACAGCTGGGATGTGGAAGTGGGAGACTATCCTTTCTGGTATCTGGGTGTAGCTAAGGAAACGTATGAAAGGAAAGAAGAGTGTCGTGCTTTACCAAAACAGGGAATCTGGTGTTTAAAGCATCACAGGGAAAAATACACTGACTGTCTTTGTCAGGCTGTTGCAGTGAAGAAGAGTTTTCAGAGGATCAGAGTCCAGCTGGACTACGACAGGGGAGAGGTATCCTTCTACGACCCTGAAGACAAGACTCACATCTTCACTCACACAGAAACTTTCACTGAGAAACTCCTCCCATACTTTGAAGTCGGAAAGCCTCATGATGCCAAAACTACTGATATCAAAGTCTGTCAGAGTGAGATTTCCCCGTGATGCACTCTTAACTTATCATCACACTTTACAGTCAAAGCTACAGTTACAAAACTGATTCTATCAATAAATCAAATTTGATGCTACTTAATAATTTTTATTACTGTTTGTATTCTAGTTCTCAGGAGTAAAAGTGATAATACATACGATTCAATCCAAGTTTTCAGTATCAGTGATGTTTATAACTTTTGAGAAGTGTTAAAACTACATTGTGTGTACTCTTTATTCAGCGTCTGTTCAGGTTAGATCAGAAGAAGCAACAACAGATAATCAGAACAAAAGTAAAATATCTATTAAAAACTGAAACAGCTTTAAATGTGCTAAACCTTTAAACATGTGCAAACTGGGGCTTATTGTTTATACTGTGGATTACCAGCTTGGTTAGCACCATCTCCACTGTATCAAACCCTTTGTTTCTGGTTGTGTGTGATACTTTTAGTTTGTAAGATTTTTTTTAACCAACTGAGGTGTGATTGTAGTTTTCAGGGTATTATATTTAGATTGCTTTATTCTCAGAGTTTTGGAGGTACAGTAAATCAAACATCCATATGTCTCCTTAATTATTTTGATGATTGATTATTTGAATCTTTTAATAGATTATTGTTTTTTTTTGTTCTAATGCATAATTGATATGTTGTTAAGGGTCACAGAAATTATTAATCTGTTTCTACTTCTGTTTGGAATAAATCATATTAATTGGTTTTCACTTTCTTTTGATGTGTTTGCTGCAATAACATGAATACACAAACGTTTTTTTAACATGGAAATTATTAGGATTTAGTTGTTGTGAAAAACTATTACAAATGGAAACTGTTTTTCATATTCACCTAACTTTACATGGACTGCTCTGGAATACTTGCTCATATTGTTCAATAAATACTCTCATTGCAGGGCAGAGTGATCCTTTTTTTTTTTTTCTTTTGCTTTTTAACAAATGTGTGTCCAGGGTTTATATGCTAGAGTACTAAAGAGAAGACAAAGGTGCAGAGTAGACTAAGTTAATGGATGCTAACCAAAATACTTTAGAAACCCACGTAGACCCTTTATCTTTGTCAACATGGACACATAAACTGGCAATCAATTGATTATTTTGAGTCCTATATAAATTTTGGTGGCAAATGAAGTCTATTCTTGACTCGTTACCATGTAACAACCAGCTAATTACACATCAGCAACCATCTGAAACACTCAGTAAATCACTAATAACTGAAAGATGACCTTTGTGCTTTGCATAAATCGACGTTGCTATAGCAGTATCATAAAACCTCTAGGGAGAAAAAGGTAGGTGGTGTTGGTATATCTGAGTTGGATTTTTACTCTAGCTAACCTTGACTATGACTTTAAAACATTTTCCTATTGTTGTCCATTGTTTTGTATTTTTTAACACTGCATATTTTTCTCTTTTTTGTGTTTGTTATAAACATGGAGGTGTAAAGTAGACGCTGTTAAGATATGAATAAGCTTACTTCTGCCTCCTCACTGCCTGCTGCTTCCAGGTGAGGCAGCCACAATGAGCAGCTGTCTTGCAGTCCAGCAAGTTTATCTACTTTCTAGAGCTGCTTCTAATCAATCAAATCAAATCAAGTTTATTGTCATTTTGCTGTACATACACAGTAGTACAGGCAAGATGAAAGAGCGCTTCTTCAGGATCCAATAACGTAAAGCAATTTAAATAAAGAAGCGTTTGCATATCTAGATCAGCAGTTCAGCATTCTGACAGCTTGTGGAATGAAGCTGCTGATCAGTCTGGAGGTTCTTCCTTTAATGCTCCGGAAACGTTTGCCTGATTTCTACTAAAGCTAAACTGTCTCAACCACAGGCAAAGCTCACCAAATGTTCTGCTGCTGGCTGCAAGAGTGAACACAAGAGTCTTGATGCACTCCCAGTCATACCAGTATACTATACTACAAAAAAAAAGATTTAATATGTGTTAGTACATAGTATGTGAAATGTAGTATGCCAAAAATGCCAGTGTTTCATATGCAAGCCGCCATGCTTTTCTGGCCTTTCTGATCTGTCATTTATGTTGCGGCGCCATGCACAAATATAAACAAGCTTGGGCCACCAAGAGCACATAAACAGTTGGAATATAATTTTTGCATTTCAAACTATGATGGTCAAAATTTAAAGGTGCATTCTGCATAAAACACTTTGCATTTTGTAGGGACTGATGCAGTACAAACTTACTGTAAATAGAAAAAGGATGCAATTTGGAATTTTGCAAACACAGAGAGGGTGTCCTTCCTGAAGGGGGCGGGGCCAGCAGCAGCTCAGCTACATTTAAAGCTACAGACACTGAAACGGCCTTTTAAGAAAAGAATTTAAACCATGGATTATACAGGCACTGTAAAAGCAAGCATCTCTTTGCAGCATTTTAAAAAATGAAAATTGCTTTCTTGGTAAATGTAAGACTTTTGTTAATTTGCTGAAAAGTGGCCACAATACGAGGCCTTTAAAGTAGACGCTGCTGAGTTTTAATTTGAAGCTCTGACTGGATGTTGTGTTTATCGTGGCTGACTTGTCTCTGCTGTTCCTGGATATCACTTCGGCCTGCACAGGGTGACAGTGGATGGGAACAGGAGAGACCGACCTGTTGTTATCTCGTCGTTCAGGTGTAACGCGGTTTACTGCAGACTGTAGCGGCCACGACAGGTTCACGACCACTGACGGTTAAACCAGACGACGGCGGAGAGTCCCTATGGCGGCCGTTAGCAGTATGAGAAAAATGTATGGACTGTGTTTCCATGCAGTTCGCCAGACGGCAGGACGGAAGGCTTCGAGGCTGCTTCAGCACAGAGCCTTCAGAGTCAGTGTAAGTGACAACACCGTCGTGCTGTTGTTCAATGAGGAGAAATAACACGAAAGGTCGCTTTAGCCAGTCGATGCTACGGAGGTGATGTGGTCAGATTGTGGCCTGGCAAACGGCAAAAAAAACACGTTGGACTGATAGTTAATCTTGCCATGTCAGGTTACTACACAAAAGAGGATTAAATGTGTGATTAACGTTCTTAAAAATGCAATGTTTGGGTTAGGATTCATGAGGGTTGGAGTCCATCAAGGATTCACAAGAACGCGCTGACATCTTAAGTTATCGCGATAGCTTGTTAGCCGGCTAGCTTTGCTAACAACCTTCCAGAAACTAACGTAGCGTTAATTTTAAATCGACTCTCCAACGCAGCCGTGTCAACTCAAACTGATTGTGGCATACATGAGTAAAAACATGTCTTTACAGTTTAATTAGCAGCTTGGCTGGCAGCAGGGAACTTTGTGTTTATTGTTTTGACTCTGAAGCCGGAGCAGCTAGCCGGCCGGCTAGAGGTCTAGCTAGCTTCCCTCCTATTGGTCAGCCAGAGGGGCGTTAAGAGGAAACCAGTCTTTGAGTTAAACTTTCAGGGGAAATATCATCAGATTTTGCTGAAACTCGTGTAATGTGGGGGAAAGTGAAACGTCTAAGCGTTTATTACATCCTTAAGTTGACATAAAACTGCATCTATTTGTGTCATTTGTGCCCCCGTGTGTGCAGTCAGTCTGCCAGGTGTGTGTGACTAAGATCCATCTCAGTTCAATGCAATTCAAATAACTTTATTTATCCCTTTGGGGCAAATCAGTTGTTGTTGCTGTAAATATGGCAAATCGCCTAAAGGTAAAATGTGTTTAACTTGACTTGCAAACCTGCATGTCCTACAAGTACACAGATTTATAACAGGAGTGTTACATTGTGCTAAATAAGGTTATTATATCAATGACGAGTAGAAATATCTTTAAAAGTTATAATCAAACTTGTGCACCATTTTTAAACTGTAAAAATAAAAATTTCCAACATACACACTAAAATTGCTCCGTTATTGAGTGTGTTAAAGTGTCCATTCAGCCAAAAAAATAAAGAGACAAATATGATAGCTCAAGAATAGGGATGAACAATAAAAAAAATTTAAATTGTAGTTGCAGTTTGAAACAGTGCAATTAGCAAAGCTGCAACTTAGAATAAACATGAGGACTGCACAACAAATTGGAATATTATCATCATTTCAAGAGAGCTACGTGCAATTACCAAGTTGCAGGACCTGCAGTTTTTTTTTTTGATGGAGGGAGAATGTGTCCCAACATACCATTATAAATAAAGCATTAGGAGCTGCTAAGATGCTCTGTCCCAATAATCATATTCTGCAGGACTGAACATAGTTGTTTATTCAGACCCCAGAGAAAATCACATCATTTTTGTATTTGTTTAAGTGGAAAAGCAATGCAAAAATTGCAATTTTCACTGAAATTGTGGCTCATATTGCAATATCTATCAAAATAATCCATCCATTATCTATACACCGCTTAATCCTCACTAGGGTTGCGGGGGGCTGGAGTCTATCCCAGCTGACTCAGGGTGAAGGCAGGGAAGACAGACAACCAAACACACTCACATTTACACCTACGGACAATTTAGAATCACCAATTAATCTCAACATGTTTTTGGACTGTGTGGGAGGAAGCTCTAGAACCTGGAGAAAACCCACACTGCATGGGGAGAACATGGAGAAAGATCCCAGGTGTCCTCACCGGGATGAGAACCGGCGACCTTCTTGTTGACCTTCAGTGCTACCAACTGCGCCACCTTGCAGTCCTCAAAATAATCTCCAAATATACATATTTTTTGCATATTGTTCAGCCCTAATTTGAAACAATGCAGTTAGCAAATCAAAGGGCTGCAATGTAGGATGCATTATTTATTTGTTGTCTGTCATGTCCATGTTTTTACATCTTCATGCCATTCTCCTTGTGTGACAGCCACACTTTTGATAGTGTCTCATGTGATAAGACTTTATGACATATTTTACATCTATTACATAGCGAATATTGACATGAACCTTGACTTTACAATATTTTATCACTGTAGAGAAGTGCTTTCTTCAAGGTCAGGTCATCTAAAGGAAACTTTGGGTTTGTTGAGGTTCTTTGTATTATTTTGTAAAGTCTTCTCCAATTTACAATGTAAAGCGGCTTTAGCTGACATGTTGTGAACTGGTGGTATATAAATAAAGTTGAACTGAATCATTCAAATTTAAATATCTGTATAAAAAAATGCAGTTACTTATTTTCTCCAAATCAATTAACTTTCCAGAGACGGCGTCAGACAAATAACAAATACACTGATACTTGTTTTGATGAGCTTCTTGGGAAGTTTTCACAGACGACAGTCTTACTAAAGGCACATTGGCAATCGCTAGAACACACTTTAAACTATTTCCTGCTAGTAAAGAACAATGCATTCATTTAGTGTATCCTAACAGGCAAAATGGCCTGTTATCATGATGAAGATGTGGAACTGTGTATTCCCAAAAATTACCATATAGGCCATCATCCAGTTTAAAGCTAAAATATGTCAGTGATTTATCACAATCTGAACTGTTGTGGAAGGTTTTTAAAACAGGAAATGCAGCCATATTCCAGTAAAATCACTTTTAGTAATATGATATCAGGCAAAGCGTTCCTCATTCAGTCTCAGCAGAGCAGCTTTAGTGTTTTTTCTTTGGATGTCACTATTAAGAGAAAGATGAATCCTCCTTTGTGGCGTCTATTGTAGAGAGAGCCTTCCTTTGCCAAAGCTGCAGTGACATTATTAATAAATAATGCTTGCATTCAATCTTTCAGGCCGTGCACCAGCAGCAGCCCTTTGACTCATCTCTGGAAAAGCCACAGTTCCCTGGAGCCTCAGCAGAGTTTGTGGATCATCTGGAGTTCATTCAGCCCAATGTCATCTCCGGGATCCCGGTGTACCGGGTGATGGATAGGCAGGGCAATATCATAAACCCCTCTGAAGACCCTCAGGTACAGTCAGCCTGCCTGTGCTCCTGGTTAATAAAAGCACCACTATGAATTCCTCTCCCAACACACTTTATGGGGTCAAAGTAAATTTATTTGTTGTGTTTCGTCTGTGCTCAGCTCTCCAAAGAGACAGTTTTGAACTTTTATCAGAAGATGACTCTGCTGAACACAATGGACCGCATTCTTTATGAGTCTCAGAGACAGGTATGGTTGTTTTTCCTCTTACATTTCCAGGTTGAACCATCTGAAGAGCGACATAAAAGAATAGTGATCTGTTTGTTTCGCAGGGTCGGATCTCCTTCTACATGACTAATTATGGTGAGGAGGGGACTCATGTTGGTAGTGCTGCTGCTCTCGACCCAACTGACCTGGTGTTTGGTCAATACAGAGAAGCTGGTAAGGACTTGCAGATTTAGCTCCTTCTACATACAGAGTTACATTTTAATAGTAATCGAAGAAGTTTACTGATTTGTACTTTTTTAGTAGTTACCGTCAAATAACCCTCTGTGGCTTCAAGCTTTTTAGGCAGTTTTATTTCAACAGGTCTGATGGTGCTTGCGTTGGTGCACAATAATTTACACGACTGATTGTTTTTGAGACAAACTATGTCTCGTTCAGTGAGCGAATCGCATCACTGGTTTGCAGTCATTAAGAAAAACATCAGTAAGTCAGGCTTTATTTGGAGATCAGCTTGTTAAAAAAGCAGCAAATTAAAAAAAAAAAAGAAAAGAAATAGAATATACACAGAAACAGACGAGCTGAACAAAGTACATAATAAAACAAGATGCATGTAAACAGAATAATAAAGAAGTCAGTCATATATTGTCTGTATTTTGTTTCTGGAAGAGGACTTAGGCTTCGTTTCCACATCGTTTGTCTGTATTTCTGTAAGTTAGCTCCTTGTGTTTAAAGTAAGGAAACGCATTTTATTACAAATAGAAACCGCAGCCATACAGGACAAGCTAATCAGTTTTTATCATCCAGTTTCATGGAATATGTGAATGAAGGATTGCTGCTGCTAAAACAGGACCAGTAATACACTTAGAAAAATAAGTGAGGAAGTTTTATGGTCATGTTGCACAGTTACCATACACAGTAAACTGGTTAAAATAGTTTTCTTTGCAAATGCAAATTTACACGATTTGACCGTCACCACAGTTAAATAACCGAATAGCCTGTTAGCTACTGAACTTTTCCACTTCCTGGTGCACACAGGCTGGTAATACTATTAATTAGTAACATTATCAGCACTCTTGGCAAATTCCAGACCGGACTTTTTGTTTTGCAAATACATCAGAGATCAGGGGGACTGTCATGGGAATGAATAGAGTTCCGGTTCATTAACAAACACAGAGCTATGCAGAAAACAAGCTGTAAAGTTAGCCAAGCACAGCTGTCAAACAACAACAGTCTCACCTTATGAATGCCTTCCTGCCTCTGTACACCCTCCTAAACCCTCTTCCTGTCCATAACTCTACCTAACAGCCATCTCACACTCTGTTCTCCCTCTCCACTGTCCATGAAACTTCTACACTCATTGCTACCCTCCAGTTGTTTGGTTAACTCTTCACATACCCACTGCATGCTCTTTGAGTGTAATAATAACCATCAGTCAGCCTGGTTCTCTTCTTTTTTGTGTAATAATTCCTGTGTGGCTCTACAGGAGTGCTGATGTATCGTGGTTTCCCCCTCGATCTCTTCATGGCTCAGTGTTACGCCAACGCCGACGACCTGGGGAAGGGCCGCCAGATGCCCGTCCACTACGGCTCCAGAGATCTCAACTTTATCACCATCTCGTCTCCTCTGGCCACACAGCTTCCCCAAGGTGAGCTGCACGCCTGTTAATCAGTCCCTAAGCTCATAGGTACACCTGTAGCTCCACATTCATGGATCTGTGTGCGTTTCAGCTGCCGGAGCTGCATACGCGTTGAAGAGAGAAAACATGAACCGTGCTGTGATCTGCTATTTCGGAGAGGGAGCGGCCAGCGAAGGGGACGCACACGCCGGATTCAACTTCTCTGCCACGCTCGAGTGCCCGCTGATATTCTTCTGTCGCAACAATGGCTACGCCATCTCCACCCCCACCAACGAGCAGTACAGGGGAGACGGCATCGGTAAGCCCGAGCGTGGTTTTCTGTTACATATGATGTGAGATCCACAGCTGCTTTACCTTTTTGTTTGCTTGAACAGCTGCTCGTGGGCCCGGTTATGGCATGCTGTCCATACGTGTCGATGGAAACGACGTGTTTGCTGTGTACAACGCAACAAAGGAGGCGAGACGCAGAGCTGTAGCTGAGAACCAGCCCTTCCTCATTGAGGCGATGACCTACAGGTTAGTGGCTGAGAAATAACGCAACTTATAGACTCAACAGCTCATCATCTGAAATAATATGTTCATCACTGAAATTAAGAAGCTTTTCATGAGGCAGGATTCAAATAAAAGACAGGAAATTTTCACCAGTTGCGCATCAAAACCGAAGAAAACTAATTGTGTCCATCCTTCAGAATCGGCCACCACAGCACCAGCGACGACAGCTCGGCCTACCGTTCGGTGGACGAGGTGAACTACTGGGACAAGCAGGACCATCCCATCTCCCGGCTGAGACACTACATGACGACCCGCGGCTGGTGGAGCGAGGACGACGAGAGGAGCTGGCGGAAACAATCCCGCAAGACGGTGATGGAGGCGTTCGAGAGGGCCGAGAAGCGCCTGAAGCCCAACCCCGAGCTGCTGTTCACCGACGTGTACCAGGAGATGACGCCCGGCCTGAGCAAGCAGAGAGAATCCCTGTGGAGACACGTGCAGCAGTACAAAGAGCACTACCCGCTCGACCTGTATGACAAATAACTGCGGAGAAAGGATGGAACCAGTTGTGATTTGGTGAACAAACATGGGAGCGGGTGACAAATGAGACTGGGAGACACACCTTATACTGTATTCACAAAATGTAATTGTGGTATTTCTTTCTGCACAATAGAGAAATACAGGTGAAAGATTGTGCTTTCAAAAATTCTTCATGCCTCTGGGTTCGGTGCCTTAAGTTAATAGATTAACTGTCAGTGAAGCTCTTCAGTAAAAACTAAACTCGCTCCTTTTGTTTGACATAAATTCCAGGATTTCGAGAAATAAACTGGTGTAATTTAAATGCGTTATACATACAAAATAAACACGCAAATCTAGCAATAACTGGTGGAAGTTTACTCCAGGCTGTTAATGTTCCCCTCTTCTGTCATTCTGGTGTTTAACAGGTTTCCTTGTGTATCATTGAGGTGACTGATTTAACTTGTGTTTGGACACTTTCCTATTTTAGCTGGGTTTTTTCTTCTTAGTGTACGCACCCAAATTTTAGATGGGTTGGTATGCTGTTATGCTGTTACACATCACTTGAAATCCCAACACTGTACACTCGTCTAGTTTATATTGGAGTTGGTGTTTTGTGGAAAGAAAATAAACTGTGGAACTTCCATCGTCTTGGTGAATTTTTTTATTGTAAATTCAGTGATGGAATGGAAAGAAGATTAACGGCACATCTGAGTGGTATTATAATTGATTGGAAGTGATAAATTAACCTTTACTTTTTTCTTTTTTTAAATCAAGCTTCTACATGTTTTGCTATCAGGACACTCAGTTCTGGCAAAGCTGTTGTTTTACTACAATTTTCCAAACAACTTCTGTAACTGATGATTGACTCCAGAAAACATATAGTAGTAGATCAAAACCCTCCATGACATTACATTCCTCCTTGGGATATTGCTTGAAGCAGAGATGGCTTCGATACGCCACTGAACTCAGGATTTTTCTGTCTTTTGTTGCTGCTCCTTTCGTTCAACAAGTCAAAAAGGGGCTGTGAATGCCCGTCCACAGCTTCTTCATCTGCTGTGGAGAGCGCCGGTGAATCAGAAGAAGATCTTTATGCACGCACAGGTTCTCGCGATCTTGCTCCTTGACGTCAAAGGTCTGAAATCCTGCATGAGCCTCGGGAGTAACTCCTAGAGCCTTGAAGCACATCGCGATGTAGACGTCGTCGATGGGGAAGAAAGGGACCATGCGTGACACTGAATACAAGGGTTGCAGCAATGCCCCGGAGATGAGAAAGCCGCCTCCGCCGGCGTAAGCAGGGTACGGGCCATCGTAGAAGCTCAGGGGAATGAAGTATTTGCTTTTAGGATCTCTGAGGGGATTTGCTGAGCTTATGACATGTCCAACATACAGCTGGGAAGCTTTCGAAGCCTCCAGAGACTCCAGGTACCTGAGCAAAGCAGGTGTGTTGACGAAAACATCGTCATCCCCGCTGAAGATGAAGGAAGCGTGAGGGCAGCTTTTGCGGGCCCACTGGAGGAGCATGTTCATTTTGAGTGTCAGGTTCAAGAGGGATTCGCGGAAGTCCCACTGCAGCAGGTCTCCGTAGTGTTTGGCTTCAAACGACAGCAGCGGACTGAGGTCAGGGTCTTCCAGAGGGGAGCTTCCCAGGAGGAACACCAAGCGAACCCTCAGTCCACCCGGATACACCCCCTCTCGGCCCCACGTCTCCCGCACCGCCTGCCTCTGCTCAAAGTTCCTCGGAGTCGACTTGATGGCCAAAAGAAGGAAGGTGTCGTTGCTAACGTTGGATTGATTGATCAGGACCGGAGGAGACCTGCAGTTCATTCCCTGCAAAAAAGTCTGAAACAGCACGGGGTAGGAGGTGAAGTCGTGCATGTTGGTCTGCAGAAGCTCCTGATTCGTCTCCCTGCAGCTAGACCAGTGGGGGTCGTGTCTGAAAGGCTTTTCTCCTTTCTCCACCCTCCTCAGGGCCGAATACAGCAGGCGGTTCCAGTACGCTCCATTCTGAGGGATGGTCTGTCTGAGGCTGGACACGTTGTAGAGTTCAGACGGAGGCATGGTGGAGACCTCCAGCACGGGGGGTTTAATTCTCACATCGCCCGTGGTGGAGACCTCCAGCACTGGGGGTTTAATTCTCACATCGGCATCGTGGACCTTGAGGCCGCGCTGCTTCAGGAGGTCCTCCATTCCGGCCTTGTGACCGTGGCTGGTCTCCAGGTGCAGCGACGAGTAGAAGAAGACCAGGAGCAAAGAGACGAGAAGAACCATAGCGGTGCAGGTTTGAATGCGTCTCATTGGCTCGAGGTAAGTAAACCAAGCTGTGCGGTTTGTCGCTCTAGAAGTGGATCATCTTTCAGGGGAGATGGTCCATGTGTCGCCTCCGGTTACGCAGACTCTGCCAGCAGGTGACACACTGGATGTAGCTGCCAACTGACAAAAATTCAGACATGACAGGACACCCAGACGGAAATCAGCCTCAACAAATTGTGAATTCTACTCTCAGACGGGTCTGTTTAATCGTCAGACTCCACTTGACATAATGATAACTTCTTATATTAAAAATAATAATAATAATTTTGACCAAAAGACATTGATTCCCCACTTAATATATTGGAATGCATACTTGGCTTCATATTGTCCTCCTTTCTTAATAAATAATCTCCTTTAACCAACACAACAGGCAGAACTAGTCAAGCAGCTTTAACAGATTGTGTTGCGACACGTGCGGATATGCTCAATTAATGGTATGAATATTTCATGTCACAATGAAACTTAATTATTTAGACCTCATAATAGGCCCATTGTGGAAGTAGTGTGAAGTTACTTGTACTTTTGCTTGTGCCTTTTCGATTTCTGCCGCTTTACACTTCTACAAAACTACAGTTCAGTCGCAAATATTGAGCTTTTTACTCCATTGGATTTGTTTAATGGCTTTAGTCGCTTTGGAGATTTAGTTTTAAAGTGAAAAATATAATCAACAAATAGATTGTGATGTAAAATCAAAGATCAAGTAAAGATATGATTCTGAAATATGACATTATTCAGTGGTAGTAATTTCACTTTTTGGTACTTACAGTATACTTTGATGCCCAGTTTACTTGTAACAGAGTACTTGTACACTGTGATAGTTAGTACTTTTATTTGGGTACAACATCAGAGTATTTCTTCCATTTTTGGTGGAATTACTCTAAAACAAATGACTTGCACTATATTGCACAGCTTAGTACACAACAACAACAAAAATAATTACCCTGTGGTGTTGATTTTAAAAAGTTACACAGAGATCCTTAAAGACAAATATCTGCAATAAAAAATAAATCATAAATCAATATTATTATTTTTTTCTTTTGGATAATTTTACATTTTAAAACCAGTATTATTCCTGATCATAATTATGACATAGATAAGAATATCCTGTTCTGCATTATAGGTTTTGCATACTTCTATTTTTGGTACTTTAAGAATAATTTATGCTCATAATTTTGTACTTTTACTTAAACATACATTTAAATGGATTCCTTTCTTCTGTATTTAACCACAATGGTACTTGCACTTATATTTTAGTACAAAATCTGACTATTTCTTCCTCTACTGGTGGAAATATTCTGAAATATAAGACCTTTCTTACTATACTGCTCATCAAATAAATACAACCGTTAGGCTTCAATTTTAAAAAGTTACGCAGAGATCTTTCAAGACAAATATCCACCATAAAAGCATAATTTATCAATATTATTTTCCACTTTGACAGAGTTAATGTTTAACATCGGTCCTCGTCATAATGACCACATATACAGTCAGTTTCAGGATTTTAACTATTTAAATGTCAGTTTGTTTAAGGGGAAAACATATCTATTTTTCATCAAATACATTCTAGGAAAATGTTATGACAGTCTGGGATGTGTTGATTGGGAAAAAACATTCATTTTAAAGCATTAATATTAATATTTGTTGGAGCAGTTTAACATCACATGATCTCATGTTAGTGCATGTAAAATGTCTCCTATTGTGAATTCCACCACTCTGCATATGGAGGACTATAGGTACTTCAAGAATATTTTGATGCCAATACTTTTGTTTTGTTTTGTTTTGTTTACACTAAATTCATTAGTTTTACTTGTAATTGTGTATTTAACCACTGTGGTACTTTTATTTAATTACAAAATCTGACTACTTCTTCCTCTTCTGGTGGAATAATTCTTAAAAAAAAAATAAAATAAAATGAGTTGGCACATTATATAGGCCGATTTAATAAGCAAAATAAATCCAATGTAATTAAAAATATAATATTTATACGAGGATACATCCTGGAGGGGAGAATTCTAACAAAAATGTTCGGTTTCAGTGCAGATTTTTTGCGCATCTTTCCGTTAAGTTTAAGGGGAAAAACAGAGTCGTGCAGCGCAGAAGTGGCCGCAGGTGATGCGCTTCAGAAAACTGCTCTCCAGTGTTTAATTAGAAGCAAACCGACTGGGTTCAAATAACAAAACAGAGCCGTCCTGAGGGGCTGCAAGCATTAAAAAAGCGTCACAATGAACGAAGAACACACCTGAGCTCAATGTGAACAGGTAGAGGATAGAAACAGGGAGCGAATTCAGTCATTTAAAGACCTTTTTCGGACTCATTACAAACGCACCTGGTGACACCTTCAGCAAAGTCACAAAGGAGATAATTCAGCATGAAATACTCACTAAAAGCCAATGAACGCGCTCCGAGCAGAAAACAGTCTGAACGTATCTCCAGCTCCAACCAGCAGATCAACAGGTGCAGAAAACCGCATCATTTAGCTTCCTGACCGCATATTTTCTTTAAAGCGGATCCGACGGAGCGATGCTTCCACATGCAGGTGCGGATCCCCACATGAGGTCACGTGACCCGTTCACACAGCAGAGCAGAGGCCACGCCCACGTGCTGTTGTCAGACATGTTTATTCAAACGTTTGACAGGAAACATCACAAATTATTTAAGACCATTTGTCTGCTGACAGAATCACCAGGAGGGGGAACATGAGCACAGTGTTCAGATCAGTAAAGCTCACTTTTTTTTTTTCTTCCATGTATTGCATCTCTTGCAGGCCTTAAAAAATAGATTATTTATTTTTTTTCCCAGCCTGGTTACTCATGACAAAATGACATAATCAGACATTAACAAAAAAAAACAAAACCACACTCCTATACAGTGGAAAACGGCTGTTCTAGGTTCCTCATCCATACCAAACCATGCAAATGTTCACAAAGGTGACTTCCACCTTCTTTTTCTGGAATAAAAGCACTTGAAATGGAAGTGACGAAAGCAATTAGCAAATCAATTCCCAACGCTTATAAAAGCTTTTTTTGTTGTTGTTGTTGTTGAAATCTTCATCGAATCGAGCTGTTCACGTCCTGAGAACTTCGCAGTGTAAGGCAGAGGGAGCATTAGCTGTGGAATAACCTCAGAAACTCTTGGCCTCTCTGCTCGGAGACGAACTCTGCAGCTGAGATGAAGCGCTGTTTAATTAGAGGCGCCCTGATGTGACCGACACAGCACTTCAAATAACCAAAAACCAAGGTGAGTGCTTTAGTCAGTCCTGGCATTTTGGTTAGTTTAGTTTATTCTGAAGCACATTTTGGAAAATATATTTTTGTAGATCCAAGTGTTAGTAAGCTGGCATCCTCTCATCCATTTCATAACAATGAAAATAAAATAAAATCTTTATGATATAAGTGTGCTGGTATGAGCAGTTTGGTACTGAAGCCCAATTATGAATACTTTAACTAATATTGGGCCAATACCGGTATCATAACAATACACAACTAACACACTGTGTGCAGAGTGCACTCAGGAAAATAGTGTTTACACCTATAAAAGGTCAATTTTTTTTTTTTTTTAGAGAACTGTGTCAAGTGGATTAAAAGGCAAGAAAAATACTGCAGATGGCAGGAAGGAAACACAGTATCTGTGAATATAAGGGCTAATGGTAGGAAAAAATTAAGAACGCCGCTAGAATGGAAGTGAGAGGCTCAAGGCAAAAAGAGGGATGCGAGTCGGTTTCCGAGGGACTGACGAGAAACTGGGAGGCGAGTCAGCGGAGGTCGCTCTCGTCGTCTTGTATGGTTTTCTTGATGCGGAGAAGCATGGTGGTGAGCCACTGGTCCAACCGGGAAATGGTGTCGAATTCCTTCACCTGGAAATACAACAAACAAATACCTTAAATGTCAGAAAAAAAAAATACAAATCCATATTTAAGGTTGTCTTTTTTTGCACAAAACAAACCTGCCCGACAACTTAAACAGAAATAAATATTGTCTGTGAAGATTCTCAGTCATCCAGGTCATGGTTATTCTAATAGATTAATCTACCAGAATAGAAATAAATATTAACCTTTCAGATACAAAAAGTCCAAACTGACACACATGCATTTCTACACTAAGGAACACTGTGTCTATAAATGCTCTAGCCACCAACTAACCCTTAACTTTTTTTTTTCTCAGCTTTTATTGCTTTAAGACATGTGATTATTTTGTACTTTAACTGAGCTCCATGCCTTCATTCTGCTGACAGAAAACTGTCCACTCACCGAATCAGTATAGGCGTCCACGTTTTGTTCTTCATAGGCGTCTAGGAGTTTCTAGACAGATTATAAAACAAAACATTTCTTACAATCCTTAAACAGAGATGTATATTTAAAAAAAAAAAACAAACTGTGATGCAGCTGAGATGCAACAACATCAGGCGACAGTGTAATACAGGCGACACACTTATAAACATAGAATTGAATAGAATGCTTTATTATCACTAAATGAGAAACAACCTCGACAGTTTTTAAACATTAGCCAGTCTTCACTTACTCAACTCAGACAACAGGTCTTAAAAACACTTTATGGGTTTTCCCCTTTTCTTCAATGTGTTATGTAGTTGTGTTTTTGTGCAAGTCTGCAAACTTGCAAAGCCCAAAGTTCACACCAAAGTGAGTTGTACTCTGGTACAGAAAACGCTGCTCCTCACCTGCTGAACCGCCTCGTTTGACGTCCAGACTTCAGTTACTTAACTACGTCTCAGTGTGACACATCTGCATAACACTTCCTTGTTTCGGCAGCAGTCTGTCATGTTTTCCTCACTACAGATGCTTCTTCTAGAGCTGCACAGTATACTGACAGATCAGGGGTGTTGGTATGTAACCAATGTTGCATCATTTTTGTTGGTCCAGCTGACCAATCAGAGCAGACTGGGCTTTTAGGGGAGACTGCATTTAACACAGTTTTACACAGAGGGGGAAAGGAGTTACTCCAGCAATGTGTGTGTGCTATGTGAAGAAGAATGTGTTCTTTTTTTTAACATTAAAGCATGTAAATGTGTTACAGTTGCCCCCAAATTTAAATGTTAAAACCTTAAAATGTACATAATATGGGCTTTTTAACTCTTCTTAGCTGACTGGTGCTTATAATGGCTCCCAGTGTTAATGAGGGGCATTCATCAAACTTGTTTGAGTTATTTTTTTGGCTTTTTGCCTTTTATTTGATAGTACAGTTGAGAGAAAAACAGCAAGCTGGGGGAGAAAAATGGAGGAAGGACCTGCAGGAAAGGGTCATGAGCGGGACTCGAACCCGTGACCTCCACGTTGGGGACTATAGCCCCTGAACATGGGATGTCAGCTCAACTGGCGCCTGATCAAACTTGTTTTTAATTAGCAGCATGTAGATGTGCAGGTCCTGTCATCAAAAGAGTTTCTTTCTTTTTACTGAAAACAGAAAGCTGCAGTGGGCCAGTTTAACAGTTCAGTTCAGCAGTCTCTTGCACTGCTCTCCAACCTTCTCGCTCCATGTCTGGAGGATTACTGTATGTTTTTTTAAGGATTTTAGAGCCAAAATAACACCGAAGCCTACCTTCAACAGCTTGCACTCTCTGGAGTCCGAAAAGGCCGGGAACATTTCTTCATACTTCTGCACAGCAAGCTGGGGGACAACAGGATCAATGTTAAAACAGTGACTTATGTTACAACTGCTGTGCATGAACACAAGTCTGGTGTCACTGCTTACTTTGGCGTTCAGCATGTCTACACAGAAGTGACAGAGCGCCGCCTTGAAGAAGTGATCCTTGGCACTGTATTTCAGGAGCGTACTGTCCATCGCATGGGTCCCGACCTACAAATCACAAAGCGCAGCTCGTGTTTGTTTTGGTGCTACAGAGCCTGGAGCCTCCGATAACACGTTGCTGAGCATCATCTCACCTGCTCATAGATCTCGATAGCTTTCGGGTACTGCTCCAGCTGAGCTGCGTAGGTTGCTACTTTCAGAAGGCACTTGTTTGCTGAACTGAAAAAGAAAATCAGTCACACAAGATCAGAACCAAGTAACACAACAGCACAAATAGAAAGCAAAGACGTAAAATTACAACAAGCTGCATTCATTGGGAAGAAATGAGAAAAAGACTGATTTGAAATAGTCACCTGGTGGATTCTTCCCCTTTGTAATAATCTGCTGCCTGCTCATAATGAGCAATGGCCTGGAATACAAAATATGCAATATTAGATATGACTAACAAACAAAGCTTCAGCGCGTGTCTGCTTCACAAGATAGTTAAGAGTTAAATACAATAAAAACATACATTTTATATTCATAATAGTAGAAGGATTGCACAGTAGTAAATAGTAATCTAATTCCTGCTTTGCATTACCATATTTCATGTTACTACTTAGTGTTATGTGACTTAAATTCAGTGTTTATTATAGAGTTTTTATATTTATCTTATTGAGTATTCTTATTGAAGAACTTCTTCAGAGCTGCTGCAGGAGCAGGACACTGACCATGGTCAGGGACTCCTCACACCCTCTCCATAAACTGTTTGAACTGCTGCCATCAGGCAAACGTTTCCGGAGCATTAAAGGAAGAACCTCCAGACTGATCAACAGCTTCATTCCACAAGCTGTCAGAATGCTGAACTGCTGATCCAGATATGCAAACACTTCTTTATTTAAATTGTTTTAAGTTACTGGATCCTGAAGAAACACTCTCTCATCCTGCCTGTACTACTGTGTATGTACAGCAACATGACAATAAACTTGATTTGACTGATTTGATTTGATTTGAATGTCATGTGGTTTTGTGTTTTAACATTTGCATTTTCTGTGCACCAAGAGGAGCCGTATTCCTTTTGGTTGTATGCAGAGCTTAAAATGACAAGGCTTTCTGATTTGGAAATCTTTACTGGAAACAAAATCTAACCTTGTCAATGTCCACCAGCTCTGTCTCGTATATTTCAGCAATGGAGATATGGTGTTTGGCTGCGATGGTGAAACGCCCCTAAAAACAAAACAAAACAAAAATAGATGTCAGATAAGCAAATCAGATGCAAATCACAATCTCAGTAATTCAAATAAACTATGAGGAGTTCCCTGGTCATACACTCACCATGTCGGTGTAAATCTCAATAGCTCGGTTTAGGCAGTTTATCGCCTCTGTTGGAAAAAAAAATAAAAAATGTAAACACATTTTTCACTGCAATTATTCTGTAAAAGATATCAAGAAAATTAAAATAAACTTAGAATCCAACAAAAGTGAGTTCATTTAACATTGTTCCTGTGCATGACCACTGTATATGATTATTTATTTACATTTTTCTCCAGTGCATTTGTTCACATTCCTTATTTCTAACTATCCTTTGAAAAGACCCATAAAAAATGCTGCTAAAGTTCCTGGCGTGGAACCTCTTAATGGCATTAGATTTGCTGTACAGTGCAAAACTTTAAGGTGCTTTAGAGGTTTAGATGCTTATCCATCATGTAGTGCCATCAGGGAACCATCAGATTGGACCTACAATCATTTTACAGCGCGGTAATGAGCCCAAACATACAGCCAGAGACAGAAATAAGTATTTGCAGCAAGAAGAACACGGAGTTCTGCAACAGATGGTACACTCACGACTCAACCCTGATCTGGAAATCATTTCAGAAGAGAGAGAACCAACAGAGAGAAACCTGAATCTACAGAAGAACTGAGGTAAGTTCTCCAAGATGCTTGGAAGTTTAATGATTTAAAGCATTCATGACATTATTTTTTAAACCATTCTTTCTCTACTTTCAGTTTCTAAAACTTCTACATAGTACTGTACATGTTCCCTGGGACTGGTTAAGATACTTGTAAAACAGGAATTACAAGTGAGCTCCAGCAGCTAGACACCCTGAGGGGATGACCAGTGATTACCTTGTGGATCTGCTTTTTTGAAGGCATTTCCTGCATCTATGAAGTTAGTTGCTGCGTCGTGTTTGCTCTGCATCTGCAGGTGAAGGTGAGCGGCTTGGGAGAACGCATTTCCTGCAGCTGAAATAAAAATGTTGCATGTTAAAGGACTGAAAGCCTGCACACACACACAAGCAAGGAAAGAAACAATGATTACACTTGTTCTTTTTTATCTGTAATAATCATCTTACCACACCAATTTTTGGCCATTTTGTACATGTTGGCTGCCCTCACATATAGGTCACAGGCCTCTTCCATCTTGGAGGAACCCCTGTGTGACAGCACATGTGTTTGGTTAAACAAGAATTGAGGATGCTGTTGCTGGGTGATAATGACAGGTATCAAGTCAATAATCAGATTTTGCTGTTTACTATTGTTCACCCTCGACTTAAAACAGTAACAGTAAAACAAAAAAACAAAAAAAAGGTTCAGGAAGTCATAGAATTGAACTGCCAATTGCAATCTTCTTCAATTTAATAACAGAATGCTTGGCTGGAAAATACTTAATTAAGCTATTTTCAGGTGAACAGTATTATGATGAAATTAACACACCGAGTAACTGTATAACAAAGAAGTTAACAATTCTGCTAATTTTAAAATAAAAACTTTGTTCATGTTATTATGAAGAGGCCTAAGAGTGAAACACAGTATATGACACCGAACATTATTTGATGATTTTGTAAATGATTTTACATTCATTAGAGAAGACTGCAACAAATATACTGACATTAGAAGGTGCTAAATGATTAATCGATGTAGAAACAACATTGCTAACACAATGCAATGGATATACGTTATGCTGTGAGTTTGATCCAGAGTTTATTTCTTCTTCTTCTTGCTATATTTTAATGTATTCATAATGTGCAATACTTGGATGCAGCTCTTGAGCCATGAATGACTTGCACCAGTGACTTGCAACACTTTTAAAAAATCTTTTAGTCATCTTGCAAAACTTTCTACATGCGAGTGTTTTGCACCAAAACACATTCCTCGTATTCGAAAACCTACTTAGAACTAATTCTAATTCAATGCCAGAGATCAACTGCAAAAAAAACCCTTCTACTTTCTTATTTTAAATATATATTTATTATGCTTATATATTGAACACAGGCAGGGCTTCTCCCATGCCATTTTAAAAACAAAAACACATTGGAAGCAATTTATATCTTTAAGTTCTCACTCTTGCATCAAAATATGGAGCAGTTCATATTTTAACAGTGCCTCTTGTAGTAGTGATGCTTCCCGTTTTAAATGTAAAACACAGAAAATAATGAAGTGACGCCAACATTGCAAATCACAATACTTGTTAGGACAATCACAATTGCATATTTTCTGCAAAGCCTTCAGCCCTGTCATTGGAGCAATGTTATGATTACTATTGTGACAATGACTTTAATTCCATGCAACATATTTGAGGTTCACTACAAACTCCGAGTGCAGTTCACAGTCCTCTGGCAGTAGCTTGAACACACAACTAGTAGCCTCTGGGCATACATATGGGTTCCTGTGTAAACAAACACAGTACTGAGAAGTTTAACCTGACGTTTAACAGTGACACTCATGCCCAGCTGTATTAGTTGGTGGAAGCTAATCCGAGATGCTGTCTTGCTCGGTGTGATGAAACTCACAAATCCCCTCCACTCTGCCACTGTAAACAAACGTGAGTGACATGTGATGTGCACTGAGTGACTTTGCGACGTGTTCTCAATAGATGGCGCTACAAAAGCACAACTCCAGCCAAGGGGCATTACATTAAGTGGCTTGAAATGTTGCACAATTCGCAACCTAATCAGGCCCTGACACATTAGTCACCTTCAAATAGACATTGCAGCAAATGACATCGAGTAATTAGTCACAGTTTGCTGCTGCTTATTATCATATTCTATGCTTGTTTATAGTTGTGTGTTCAAGCCGTGATCTGAGGGGAGGACAATGCTACGTTTAGCTCAACAGCTCATACATAAAAACTGAGCTAAACAACCAAACGTTGGGTAGAAAGCATCTCAGTACACAATGATGTTACGTTATGTTGCTGTCAGTAGACTATAGATGCGCTAACTGCCCTGCTGACCACCTTCCGCATAGTTGGCCCTTTTAGCTTGGACGAGCGAAACAGTACACTGACGTTAGCACACTCACCCAAACAGCGCTCCGAAAAACGACTGGGACGATTTCATTTTCTTTTCGGCCTCGGCCATGAGAGCCGTCGCTTCCTTCTCTTTCCCGCTGTTGTCCATTTTCGCGTCACTCCTGTTTATTCCGAGGCAGCGCGAGTAAATGCGAAAGTCAACAACAAAAAAATTGCTAACAGTGCTAAGCTAACAGCAGTAGCAGCAGCTCGCGGTGTCACATCAGCAGCCGCAAAGTAACCAGGTCCTCTGTCACGTGACACGGAAGCGAGAACGCCGCTGCTGCGTTCAGGAGCAGCTAGTCAAAAGGACATGCCATAAACGTATGGTTCACCGCAAACCATGGGGTCTATTTTTAGGACGTTGGTCGCTTTTAAACTAGGTTAAAAGTGGTTCAGAGATCAACAGAGTGAAACGCGAATTGTTTTCATGTACTAACAATGAACATCTTCCTCAGTCACACCAGCACATGCAGGATTTGTGACAACACTTGAAGGCATCTTATTATACACCGATGAGCCACAGAAAACAAAAATGAAACTATGATGCAGGTCACAGTCATAAATGAGTATGAGCGAAAACAATGTTCCCTTTATCTAATGAACATAAGGCTATAGTGTGTGCTGTGAATTATTTAAGCTATTTTGTTAAGCATATAGAAGTTTATACACATAAGTAAACCCTACGTGAATCATGCAAAAATATTTGTGCAAATATAGCAAGCAGTCTTTGGCTATTGCCAGGATTGTTATTAATTCTGCTGCAGTAGATTAATCTTTCTAAATTTTGGTAATTGTGTCTGAGCCTTGCATAATCCATGAGACCACAGTGATAATGTGTGGACAGGTGATGTTGCAAAAGTTATATGCTCAGAAAAGTCAAGTTGAATCAAGTCAAGTTTAGCCTCTTTTGACTGCACAGATATGTATGGAACATGCATTGCCTCAGTGTAAACATGAAACTTTTACAGGGGTAGTTGAGAAATTAGGGTGACAAGAACATTTATTCAACACATGCATTTCTCTTAAACTTAAACTTTTTGATGTCAGGGTTAGTTTTTTTATGCCTATGACCTAGTTCTTAAATGCATGGTCTTGAATAGTGCAGCTGAGAATAACTGCAGTGATTGCAAAGCACTTGGGTGATGATATAGGTCAAAGTTCTCACATCATTTAAAAGCTTAGTTTGGTTTGTTAGGCCACCTAGTTATAGAATCTGTTTACTCTGCCCATCCATGCCAAAATGTTTTGGGTAGAAAACAGTTTTCAGCTCAATCTGAGTATTTAACATTTGCAACACTGAGGACCAAAACCTGTCCCTTGACATTAAAAAAAACATCATTATCCCATCTTCAGCCATTTTAATTCAGACTTAGGCAAATATTTTGCTGTCCTGAAAAAGTCACTTTCTCTAAAAATCCAAATCAAATCAAAATAAACGTATTTAGAAAGCATCGAACATTGAACGTTTGTCTCAGATGCAGATCAGCAAAGCATTTCCTATGATTCCGTAAGACAAACTGCAGTCTGTTATTTCTTTGATTATTTTAGGCATTGCCACAGGCTTGACAGGGAGATTACTAATGCTTTCTGTACAGCTTTTATGGTCTTTTTAATTATCTCATGATTGCATGTCTTTTCATGGTAATTTGAATTTTATGCAATCACATTGTTTATTTTTGATAGTGGTTTCTGTCTTTTTATGGGTATTTTTTTTGTCCTTTTTTGTGTCTTTCCTTTGTGTTGCAGTAATTGTTTATTTGGCTTTGACAAGAAATGCTACCAATCACAAAGCACTTATTTTCTCCTTTTTTTGAGGGGGATTGTTTAGGTTTTAGGTTGTGAATAACTGTTGTTGAATCCCTACAGCTGTGTGGATTGTGTTGCTTTGTGCTGCTCAACTCTCAGTTTACCTTCATAAACATAACAGTGGCTACTTACCTGATTTTGAAGGGTTATTGGTTATACGCTTACTGTTGATTAAGGCACTTAAATCAGGATTAAATGCTTATCTTGTTATTTGTAGAACATGCCCCACTATTTATTGTAATGGTGATGGTTTATGTGCAAATAAGTAGGGAAGTGAAGTTGGCAGCTTTAACAACACTTTTGCACACATAGTACAGCAGTTGGAGAAAAACATGTACAAAATAATTTAAGATTTTTTAAATGAGTGCATGAAACTGACAGATTATAAAGCATTATTATTTTAGTTTTCAATAGCAAACAATATTATAGGTCATAAAGCGTCTAGCTTTGACCAGTGAACTAATAAAGTTTACCCATAAGGTCCCATAGCTCTAAGTTTAATAATCAATCTCCTTGTATGTAGGGGAGACAACATCTCTGCATGGCTCAACACAGGAGAGCAACTAATCAAGAAAAGACATCAAAGTGCATCTGAAGAATGAGGGACACTTCTTTAAGGACACAAATGTCCACATTCTGGACAGAGACGACAGACTACGTTAACCTGGAACAGCCATCTCTCAACACAGGAGAGGCTCATGACACCAGTTTTCAGTGTTAAGATCTCTCCAGAAAGTGTCACCATCATTAACATCTTGGGTGGACCCTCACTTGGCAGCTTCATATCCATTGATGTCCATGATGTCTTTATTGTTTTTGTTGGGCTTCCTGGTTTCAGAACCGTTCACACCTCAGGGCATGTGAGCTCTGGGCTATTAATGGGCCTGTTAATCAAAAACTCCCTGTTAATCAGTCAGAACTGAGGAAGTATCTTAGATGAGAGGCGAACTGTCTTCATAAACCTAAAAGAGAAGAGAAGAAGAGTTCAGTTGCTTTTCACTGAAGCTACAGGATACAACAATCTGACCTAATTTGCTGCCTGGAGGTGTGAGACAAAATTTGATGTGTGCACTTAGTAATTTTTGGTCAATTCAAACTTAGGACTTATGCACTTGTTTGTCTTATGCATAAGATAAGCTTTGCTTTAAAATTGGGTTGTTGTTGTCATTCTATCAAAAAGTATTATATAGTATATATGTATTATAACCATCCATAAGAATGTCATGTAAACAGCTAAACACTTTGTATTAGTGTATTTTTATAAAACAGCATGTGATAGGCCTATTGTTGAATCTCTGCATTGTTAAAAAACATTTATTTTGATATCCCGCCACTAGTAAAATTATTTTAGAGCTTTTTACAGATTAACAAGTCCACTAACAAGCACGGACAGGCCTAAACAACAACAACAACAACTATAGCTATTGTCATTTTTGTTGTTTTGTTTATATTTTTGTATTTATTTAGGGGGCTCATTTTGCTTATTATCACGACTTTTTATTGACATTAATATGTCTGAAAATAACGTTATAAAAATCTAAAATATCTTGATTCTGACATTTCGGTACCAAGTTGTTGTGAGATTTGCAAAACGAAAACAAGCAAACAAAAAACGAAATATATTATTGAGAGTATTGGCATTTATAAAACACTTGGGGCTTCATCCTAGGACTTCCAGGCCAAACGACACCACTGACATCCTGTGTCACCGAGGCGCACAGACAGACAGGCGGCCGGACAGACGGGCAGGCAGGCAGGCGAGGCGGGGATTTCAGTCAGGCGCAGCGGCGGCCTCCTGTTTCCTGCCTGTAGCTGGGTCCTGTACAGCAGCCCGTGCGAGGCTGTCCTGGAGACCCCGCGCTGCCTGCACCTCCATCGTCTCGGGTGAGTTTGTTAAATGTAGCATTTTCTCTATAAATCCCAATAACTGTAACTGAGCTGCAATATTCGCTAACTGCAGAGAAGCCGCAAACTGCACAGCTACCGCAATCGGAGCGCCACGCTGCTGCACGACCCGGCAAACATGCTCATTTTCCACCGAATTCCCAAGCATACCCCCCTCATCCAAGAGTATTCCAACATTAACTCATATTTTGCTTGCAAGGAGAGATAGCTAGCTACGCAATTGCGTTCACACTTATAGCAAACAATGCCGCTTTGTCTCGGTTGAATCGAGGTGCCGCTGAACAGTACGAGTGTTAAAATTGTGTCACTCGGTGGTTTGTTTTGAATGTCAAAGGCTCAGGCTAGCTGTACGTCTCAATATTGTTGATAGCTGCTTGGCTTAGCAGGTTAGCTCGCTAGGCTAACGAAAGTCAACCCAGATGCATCAAAATGACTGGAAATAGAGGCAAAACGGGGCTTTGGAAGGAAACGTTTTGTTAAATTGGAGTCTTAAGTCTGCCGTGTTGCTGTTAAACGCGGCGTGTTGTGAGGAATTGACAAAATATGCATGGACTGCTCTTTGAAAACACCAGCTAGCATGTAGCAGCCGCTTGCAGTGTCTCCATTCATATCCTGCGCACTGGCTCTGCTCTGACCGAGCAATGGCTCCGATCCGCTGCCTTTTCAGAGCCTCCGCTGGAGATACGGTCCCGTCATAATCTCGGTAAATGTGGTGATTTGCTGTTCTCGTTTTTACCTGAAGTGAAATGCACAGTTGTTGTGACTTGCGGTGGATTCAGAGAAGAGCCTCCGCACTCGAAATGTTTCCAGGCGGAGCGAAAACCGCGCGTTTTCAGTTTGTTGTCTATTGCCATCCGCTGTTTTTCGGAGTTTAGCTCATGTAACTTCTGCTTGACCTCTTGATGAGTCAATTACCGCACAAAGCTTTCTTGTTATCGAGAGTTTGTGTGAAAACATGACTGGTTTGCAACTTATGATGAAAATTGGCTTCGGTGGTAATCTGTAAACTTTTATTTTCTTAACTTAAATGACTCGCATGTGTAAATTTGAGTGTCAGTGCAGCGGTTGAAGGTTGCCTGTGTGCTTGTTTTATTCTAACACGATTCAGAGATGCCTGCAGGCAAAAGGTGATGTAATGTTTTGAGTCATTACTCACAATTTGAATGTGAAAACCACGGGGATATTGTGATTTAAAGCTAATCACTGTTTGTGTTGATTGTTTAAAAACAATAGAATTAAAGACAAGTAGACTAACAAGAAGAACTTCAATTTAAACTAAAATTGACATCTAATGGGGTTTAAAAGGACAGATGCTTATTGATGCCTTTATCCTATAACAGTATTAAAACAGCTCAGTTTAAAGCTTCGTGTTGTAAAAAAAATAAAAATAATGTAGCCCATTTTATCTGAGGAAATACGAAGCTTTTTAAACATATCTTTGTCTTCTTTAGTGGAAAAGTTTAGTGTCATAATCTACAAGACAAGATAATAAGAAAATTGGCATCTCTGTGTACTTGTCGGTAGTATATGCAGTAGAGCAGCTTTACAGCAACAGAGCGATGTGAATTTCCTGTAAGGCTCGTCCGTGCTTAAAATATGTGCTAATGATACCGTGCAGAGCTTTGCTGAAAGAATTCAACATGTGTAATTTAAATATTTGACTTCAAAATGGACTTTAATAATGTGTAACCACATGACAGCAGTCCTTGCCACGCTGACATGTCAGATGTGGCAAACACTCTGTCAAACTATAACTATAAATCAGCCGTGATGTAAATTTGGAGCTAAAAAAAAATCTCATAATGTGGTGTTAGTATAACCAGATAATAAAAATTTAACTGCACACATGCTTGAAACTATTAATTATTCGGGGGAGGAGTAAATTTCTCGTTTGTGCCGTTTTTATTACGACAAATGTGTCCGTAATGAAGTGAATTATCATTGGTCTTTAAAACAAACCTTTTCATCTTTAACAGTTGTCATGGATGATGAAGACGGCAGGTGCCTTCTAGATGTAATTTGGTAAGTCAATGCTGACGCCGTGAATGATTAATTTAATAGACAAGCAAACAGTTCAGTCGTCTCCGTAATGTTGTTTTGAATCACTTTGTTTTCTCTTGCAGTGACCCAGAAGCTCTCAATGACTTTCTTCATGGATCTGAGACCCATGTGAGTATGAGAGAGAGAGAAAAAAAAAGGGCGAAAGAAGTCACATTTGTTAGGCTTGTGATTTCTAGTTACAACATGGGAGTTTGTAATTGATGTGATGAGGAGTCTTAATTGTGTGTATTTTAGTTGGTGCTTGCGTCAGTTGGAGGTTGCGTGACTCTGTACTTGGGCCACTTTCAGATTACACTTTAATTCACCCCGAAACCTGCATCCTTCACTGCTTTCACCTATTTTATTTTATTTTATTTTATTTTATTTTTTTACGGCTTTCTCTGCTTAATGGTTGTCTTTGCTTTTTGATTGCACTATTTGTGGCTTCAGCCTGCCTTCCCTTTTTATTAGGCTAATTCACAAAATGAGTAATGCTAATACTAACGCTTCCCAACTCTGTGTTATTCCTTGCCCCTCTGTCATTTACCTTTTTTACTGGTTCTTTACTATCTTGGTTCTTTGGACTGTGTTCTGTCCTTTCCTTGCCCTCCTCTGTTTGATGGTCTGTATGTTTCTCTGTCCTGGTGACTTTTGCCTGCGGGTTTGGGTGCCTTTGGTTTCTGTCTGTCCTATCCTGGGTGGGTGTGTCTGTAGTTGGACACTGACGACCTTTTGGATGGTTCGAGTGACCCCTCCAGCTCGTTCTTCTCTACCACTGGGGTGAGTAAAATCCCCCAATCCTCTTCCCTCTGTTTTCTATCCATCTATGTAGCATGCGTCTCCTAATACCCTCCCTTTCCACTAACATATCTACACAAGCTTTGATTTGCTGCGATTCGACAAGATGTTTCAGTGGGGTTTTTCACGTCTGCTTTTCTGTGTTAATTCAGTTACACTCCCGGCCAGCTCGTTATCAGAATTCATGCATCACCTGGTTTCACTTCTTCCCTTTGCTCCTTTTGTCGTAGGGCCATGTTGCAGAGGTCCAGCCTGCGGTCCAGCTGTCGGCCAGTGAGTCGGCAGGTCTGCCCAGAGTCAGTGTTGACCTGGACTTCCTGGAGGATGATGACATCCTGGGAGGATCCCCAGGTGGAGAAGGTGGGAGCAATGGCATTGGGACAAATCACGAGCCATGTGACATCCTGCAGCAGAGCTTGGCCGAAGCCAACATCACAGAGCAGAGCTTACAGGAGGCAGAGGCTGAGCTGGACCTGGGCTCCTTTGGAATTTCAGGCCTTACACAGGTGGTTCAGACGCTGCCTGATGCCAGCCTCTCCGGGGCTGGAGGCGCTGCTGTTGGTGTAGGCATCGGCGTTGGGGGAGCAGCAGCCATTTTCCCTGGGTCGGCTCCGAGCACCACTGCTACTCCTCCCAATGCCACAGCTGACATGCTGGGGTCGGTGCTCGCTCAGCAGGGCCTTCAGCTCCAACCCCAGGTCATGAACAAGGCCATTAGTGTTCAGCCATTTATGCAGCCTGTGGGCTTGGGAAATGTGACGCTTCAACCCATTTCGAGTCTTCAAGCTCTTTCTAATGGGAGCCAGTCTGGACATTTGGGTATCGGACAGATTCAGGTTGTGGGTCAGCCTACAGTCATGACTATCAATCAGTCTGGGCAGCCAATCCTGGCTAAAGCCATGGGTGGTTACCAGCTGCACCAGTCTGGGCCAGAGGTATCAGGTGCTGGTTCTCAGGCAGGGCTTGGAGGCTCAGGAGGTGGACTTCTGATCCAAGGTAACAAAGCCACTTTGGGATCTCCAGCTTTAAATGGACCGGCTGTTTGTGTCAGCAGCACAAACAGTAGCAGTGGTGGTACAATGACTGCTCCTGCTGGGCTTGTGGGCTTTGGCAGCACCCCTCTAAGTTCAGGAATAGGACCCCAGACTCAAACTCAAGGCCAAATCATGCAGAACGTGATCATCCAGCGCACACCAACACCTATTCAGCCTAAACCCCCTCAAGGGGGACCCATCCAACCGAAACTCTTCAAACAGCAACAGCAGCAGCAGCCACAGCCACAGCCAGCACCACAAGCCCTGCAGAACGATGCCCACAAGGCTCTTGGGCTGCAGCAACTTCCAGTTTCTGCTGCTCAGAATGTAGCCTTCCTGACAGGAAAGCCAGGCTCCAACGTTGTTCTGAGTACTCAAGCCACAACACAAGGCCCTCAGTTTCAACAAACCCTGTTCAAGCAACAAACAGCACAACCATCTGGCAAGCCCCTCAGTGTACACCTGTTAAACCAACCTAGCAGCATCGTTATTCCCTCTCAGACCGTTTTGCAAGGTCAGAACCACCAGTTTCTCCTGCCACAGCTACAGCCGGGTGGGCAGATCCTGACCCAGCATGCTGGGGGGCACATCATCACGAGTCAGGGTCCTGGTGGTCAGCTCATAGCGAACCAGATTTTAACTGCAAACCAGAACATCAACTTGGGTCAGGTGTTGACCTCACAGGGCCACCCTGGGGCTGCTCACATCCTCTCTGGACCCATTCAGCTCCAGCCTGGTCAGATGGGCACACCTACCCTCTTTCAGATGCCTGTCTCACTGGCTCAGAGTCAGAGTCAGACGCAGACCCACACTGTCTCAGGACATGCCCAGACAGTGATACAGGGCATGCCGATTCAAAACTCCCTGACCATGTTGAGTCAGGTGGAGGGACTGAGCCCCGCCGTCAGCCTTCAGCCGGCCCTGCAGCCGCAGCCAGGTGGAGTCCCCAGCAGCACAGGAGCAGCAACCATGGCTCAAGGCCAGCCTGGAGAGTGTGTTACTGTGCTGGGCAGCACAGAGCAGGCTGCTCATCCCACTCAGCAGCTTGTACCACAGTCCTCTATCCTCGCCATGCAACCGGCTTCCTCTGTGTCCACGGCTACCACAGTATCCTCCTCTTCTCCGTCCATGTCTGTTTCCACCTCTTCCTCTGTCACAGCTGTGGGGCTGGTCCCCCCTCAGGCTCAGCAAAGTCCAGGGAGGTTACTCTTCACCAACCAGGGCTCCAGCATGATCCTGAGCCAGGAGTCTCTGCAGATGTTCCTGCAACAGGTCAGTGTTCTGCTCTTTGCTCGTTTGCTTGTGTACAGTTAACATTGTCTTTAAAAATGAATAACATGCACGGAGTGATGTCTTGGTTTGACCTCATTGGTTTACTATTTTACTCCCCCTTCCTTCCAATCCCCTTCCTCCTTCCCTTCCTCAACCTGAAACGGTAAATGTACTCCTATCAGGAGCAGCACCACCAAACAGAGAATGAGTCAACCCCCTCTGTGGGCGTACCGGCGTCTGTAATCGTCAGCAGCAACAGCAGCACTACTCCGGCCCCTGCTGTCCATGACAGCCAATTAACTGACTCTTGGGTGGGTCAGAGCCACAGCCCTTCCCCTGGCCCTTCCCACATGGCAGCAGTGGTAAAGCAGGTAGAAAAGCCCCTTTATGTTGAGCCCCACCCACTTGTTGCTGCTGCTGCCGCCACAACAACGTTAGGTTATCTTACCTTTCCCCATCACTGCTCTGTACCTGTCTGCTGCATTAGTCATTGCTTCCATGGCTCTCACTGACGCTATGCAATTACTAAGTGCAAAAATGATTCCTTCGCTTGCAGCTTCCGTGTGTCTCTTACATCGCTTCATTACACGTAAAGGCATGATCATTCCAGTTGTCCGTAACTATTCTGTGTCCGCCACTGTGCCATTTTAAATCTTTGCTTTATGCACCTCCATGAAATTTGGGAGTTGCATCAAATCCCAGTCCTCTTTTTGTTTTTTTCTAGCTTTTTTTTTTTTTTTACTAATTTGATCATTTTCATCCATTCTATGTATGTTGTAACAGTATTTTTTAAAAAAATCATTGCCATGCTTAATTGAAGAGGTTCCAGGTGCATTTCCTTCACCTATTTACTAACACGCCTCAATCAATTCACCTTCACCTGCTGCATTACTGACCAGTGACTGATGAATCAATTCACTCCTCTCCATCCTGCACTTCTCATTAATCCTCTTGTGTGTTTACAGTGCCACCCTCCCTTGTTATCCCTAGTCTGATCAGTGCAATGACCCCCAACCCAAATTATGTACTCCCCTGACCCTCGTCCCTGAAGTCTTCAGATCACCTTCTAATTTACCATCACAGGCCCGCAGATCTTGACTTTCTTGCTTTTGTCAACAGTTTTTCTTTATGGCTCGCCAAATGATCATTGCTGCCTTTATTTATGTGTAATCCTCCTCAATTGCTAGAAAAAAAAATCAATGGGCTTCTACTACTTTTACTTAAGCTCCTTCTAGACGTTCAAAGTCTAACACTTTGCTTTTGTATTGTTTGCCGTTGTTTGACGTGTGTTTGTGTAAACTGGGGTTGGGTGATAGTAATTTGTTTTTTTCGATCTTTTGTTTCAGTTTCAATTTAGCACATAGGATTGTATTCTTCTGGTATCATTTTACTCATATACCAATTGACAATTTCATCCAAAATGTAATAATTCAAACTATTTTAATGCATATTTTTGGCATGTAATAGTAAATATTGATGTCTAAAAGGCATTCCTATTAAGATTGTATTAAAACCATATCGCCCAGCCCTACTTTGTGTTGAGTTGTGTACTAGAATCCTGTTTATTATAGACAGTGTGCATGCAGAACGTTACCGTATGTCATTTTTGTGCCTAATGTCCTGATTCTACGTGTGCTAAAAATTTTGTTTGCATTTTTGAATCCGACAAGCATGTCAATATATTGTGATTCCACTTCCTCAGGTACCCTCCAGTGGACATCAGCAGCCTCTAAAGATCCAGGGCATGTCCCCCTCGCCGGCCTTGACCACTCATGCCGCTGCCCCCCCAGTGGCAGAGAGCCCCCAGCCTTCCCAGTCTCCTCTCACTCTGAGCCAGCAGATCCAGTCACCGCACCACCAACAGTCGCGTCCTCCCTCTCAGCCTCAGCCGCAGTCTCAAACGCCCTCTCGCTCATGCACACCCTCATCTCACCCTCCACTCTTTATAGTCCACAATCAAATCGCAGAATCCCCTCAACCAGCTCCGCAAGGCCAGGCGCAGCAAACGCCACCCCAGCAAGCACACATTCAAGTGCAGCTTCAGCCTCAGCCTCGGCCGGCGTCTCAGCCTGCCCCCTATCAACAAGACATGCCCCCAATGTCACAGTCACCCAAACCTCCTCCTGCACCACCCGCACAACACCAATTCACCGCGCCTCCCGTCAGCGCTTGTGCTACCGCTGTCGTGAAAACCCAGGTTCCCATCCAGGGTTTGACGTCAGAGCAGCAGCACCATCTGCAGCTGGTCGGAGCGCAAATTCAAACCCTGTCATCCATCACTCAGCCCTCGCCTCAGCAGAAGCAGCTGCTGGAGAAGCTGCACCAGGTACTTTCCCAGTTCACCACATGTGTGCAATGCAACCAAAGTTCTTGTTAGTCAAACCTTGTTGTGTATTTTGACTTTACATGCGACTCTTTCCCTCTCACGTTGCTGAGACAGATGCTCTTACTTGCAGTGTTTTTATTTGTAATCCTGTATCCTGATATATATGTGGTTGTTAATTTTCACAATGTTCAGGTTAGTTCATTGCATTTAAAGGACAGAAAAAAAAACATCCCATAGCTTGAAATATGTGAATGTATTTGTTAGCTTTTGCACTGTTGTACATCATTATTGAAAGTCTGTATAAATGCAACATATCCAGCTGTTGATTGTGTAAGTACTTCATGACTTATTTGCACAAATCAGACGTCCAATAGGCTTCTGGAAACCTAATTAGTTCATTTAGTTTTTTTTAATGTACAGAAATATGTAAGCAAACTCTCCTGATGTGTTTTCAGGTCCAGCAGAACATCGTGCTGCAGGCCAAGTCCGCTCAGCCTCAGCCTCAACCTCAACCTCAACCCACCAGTCAGTTTAGTTCCCAGCAAGATGTGCCTGTTGATAAAGTGGTGATCGCATCATCAGTCAGCACCAGTACAGCCGCTCAGCTTCCCTCAATGCTGCAGCCGACGTCAGTGCTTGTTAAAACTCCTGCTACAGGTTAGACATCAGTTACTGCTTGTGACACAAAAACGGCATCAACCTGAACCCACCTATAAGTATTTCCTTATGTAATGGTTTTCTTTTTGTTCTATCTTAGCATCAAGTGACTTACAGGTATTCTCAGGAGCCCAAGGGCCAGCTGGAGCAATGGTGAATCAGACTGTCACTCCTGCCAGCCTTACCCAGCCTGCACAGGTAGGTTACATTACAGAGAACATTCCTCTAAGGACGTGTGCAGTCATTGTTGCTTAAACCTTTAACTGTGTTTTCTTTTATGTTTTAATTTCATGTTGTTTCTGAGCTGAAATTTCTTTCTAATTTTCCTCGACAGGTTCAGCCAAAGCCAGGAGTGATCAGCTCAGTCGGAGGGATGACTCTGGGGAAGGGTGGGATGCAGATACAGGTGTTGGGACCTAGTCTGACTCAAATGCCTGCTCCGCAGCCCCGAACTCCAGGACAAACTCAGGTATAGCTATTACTCATTTACTAAAAAGAAAATAAAACAGCCTTAAGCTTTAGCCTAAAGGTTTTAATCCCTGCTTTTCTTCTTTTTGCTCACATCACAGACAACAACAATGAAAATGCCTTTCAGTGCAGAGCCCAGTAAAGAAGCCAGGTATGTGCCGTGGGTGTTTTCTGGTCTTATTTTAACAGTCTCATTATGATATATTTGTGAATCATATTTCCTTACACGTGTCTCACTGCAGGATGCTGGAACAGCTAAGGAAACATCAGGGTTCAGTGCTTCACCCAAACTACAGTGCTCCTTTCCACTCTTTTGAGGACACACTGCACAGACTGCTGCCTTACCATCTCTACCAGGGAACTGCCAACTCTTCTCAAGATTATCAACGAGGTAACAAACTGAATATCGTCTACTGTTGCAGATGTATTGTGAAGTTTACAGATCTGGGTCTTCTTAAACATTCTGGTTGTCTCGTACACAGTGGATGATGAATTTGAGAAGGTCTCCTGCCAGCTGCTGAAAAGGACCCAGGCCATGCTGGATAAATATCGTCACCTGCTTTTTGCAGAGTCCAAAGTAAGTTTATAAAACAGCATGTTCACTGTAAGCCTTCTTTTTGTCCTCTTTGTCCTGAATTGATTTCGAACTGATGGCTGTTGGCATTTGAACCTGAGCAGAGACTGGGCCCCTCGGCAGAGATGGTGATGATCGACCGGATGTTCATTCAAGAGGAGAAGGTCGCGTTGAATCAGGACAGGATTTTGGCCAAGGAGAGACCCGGTAACCTACCACTGTCTGCAGCCACACAGGGTTTTGTCATTAATGTTGATTAGGTATATGCTAATGATGTCGTTCTGTTTGTTTCCTTGCAGAGGAGTTTGTGGCAAATGTGCGGATGTTGGAGAGTGTTGTTACATCCCAACAGAACTCTTCGTCTGCTGAATCCACCTCATCGAGTGGAAGTGTACCAACTGCTGCCGCCGCTCCTGCACCTGCTGTTCCTGCTCCAGCCCCAGCCCCACTACCAAACATTACCCCAAACCCTCCACCTGCTCCAGCTGCAGCTCCTCCTCCAGCTCCAGCTCCAGCTCCTGCTCCTGCCCCTGCACCAGCTCCTCCTGCAGCCCCTTCCCATTCCCCTTTCCCTCCTACCAGACTGGTCATAAAGCAGGGTGGAGGTGGAGCGTCCGTGTCCTGGTCCAGCAGCTGTGCCCCACCTCCACCTGCAGCGAGCAAACCGGCAGCTGAACCTGCTGCCCAGAGCTCGTCCTTTAGTCGTGCACCGGCGGCGGCATCATCATCCTCTTTCTCCTCCTCGTCCGTGAACTCTCAAGCAGCCGATGACGACGACGCTCTCCCACAGCGAACCAGCAAACCTCCTATTAAGACCTACGAGGCTCGTAGGAGAATTGGCTTGAAGCTGAAGATCAAGCAGGATCAAACGGGGTTCAGTAAGGTGGTCCACAACACTGCCTTAGACCCAGTGCACACACCTCAACCTCAGTCCATATCCCAGCCTCAGACTCAGCCTGAAGCTGCTGCACCGCATGCAAAGTCCCAACCTTTATCTACTCCTCCTGCTGCAGTTGTCAGAACTCAGTCCCCCGTATGCACAGCTTCTTCTGGCCTGTCCATCACCATATCAACCTCTCAGTGTAACCCAACGCTGAAAGGTACCGCTCCCCCCACTGCAGCCCCATCTTCCTCCACCTCTTCCTCTCATACTTGGACGTCGTCCACCTCGTCATCCTCCACTCAAATGAACGGAACATTGGATCACCACAATGTGGGCGGGGCCAAACACAACCCCGCCTCCACTGCCACTTCCTCACAGACAACCTGCCGCCTCCCCCTTCGAAAAACCTACCGGGAAAACATCAGTCCCCGGGTCAGACCTGGTGTCCCGGGTGGAGGAGATGAAAATTTGTCCTATCCCAGAACCACGCCTTCACCCCCCAGGCACGAGGCCTCAACTCCCCCTTCAGAGCGGACAGTGATAGCCAGTGTGAAGGTAGAGAAAAGAGACAGGGAGGCCTTACACACTCACACAGAGTCGAGCCACGACGCCGGCCGCTTGGGGTCGATGCAGGGGCTGGACGAAATGGATGAGGTGTTCAACCGTGGTATCAAAACCACGCAGCACCATCATCACCCGCAGCTCCTGGACAGGGAAGGGGCGAAGGAGAGAGGAGAAGAGCACACAGACCAAGAGACAGATGTAAGTAAGTACAAGAGATTGAGTGGGAAAAATAGACATAGGGCAGGAGGGACATACAGAATGGACCAGCATGCACCTGGGCCTCCCTCTCCTGAGTCCTTTACACGAGACTCTTTGCTTCCTGCCAAACGCTGCAAGTCGGACTCCCCCGACATGGATAACGCCAGCTTCTCCAGCGGCAGCCCTCCGGACGACTCTCTGAACGAGCACCTGCAGTGCGCCATCGACAGCATCCTGAACCTGCAGCAGGAGCCCTCTGCCCGCGGGCACCATATTAAAGGGGGCAACAGCAGGCCCCACCAACACCAAAGTCAGCGCCCAGGGGGCTCGGCAGCCTCATCCCACAGACCTTCAATCCCACCCCCCTCCTCTGCTTCTTCGTCCTCCTCCTTGGCCCAGCACCCTCAGGTCGGTGGCCGTGGCCACAATGGCAGCCTGGTGCCCCAGACTCAAAGTAGATAACAGCCCCTCAGCCTCAGGCCGGACTGACACGGGGGAACTGAGAGACGGTTTAGGAGGCAGGGGAAGGGGGCACTGTGAAAACAGTATCACTGTACTACTCTGCCAAGCTGCATTGGCTTTGTTTGTCCATTTGAATTGTCCAGACATTTCTTTGTCATTTACAGTCTGAGGTCGCCCCATGGTGGCATAAGTGTGCTCAAAGGTAAAACGGTGAATTGCAGACTTGAAGATGCCTGGCATTTTGTATGTGTTCAGTCAGCCAGACTTGAGTAACAAGATGAAATCGTCGGAGGCTGTTGTTCTCTAATTCTGTCTCTTTTTCACTTTTGGTCTCTTCTCCTCCTCCAGTATTTATACATTCCTTTCATGTGGCCTGAGCACTGGTTTCTACCCATAACAGTTCATCTCATGGTTCAAACAGTGTCCTAATGAGCATCAGGCAGCTTTTTTAAGCAGTTCAAAAGTCAGCTGCTGTTACAACAGAATGGCAAAACAGGATACAACAGTGTTGTACTGTAATAGGTCATAATGCATACAGTGTGTTCCTGTCCCTACCATATTTGATTATCTTATCACAAAGATAATGCTGCCGTACAGATGCAAACAGCACATGCTGGAATAATGCAGTCCACCTCTTTATCAAACTTCTTTATGTAGAATGTAAACCCAAAAACTCAGTTACCCTGGTGTCAAGGCAACCGTTATTTGTCTTCAATTGGCAAAAAAAAGAGTCGCCTCCTGAATTTCATATAGACATCATTTGCATTTTTTTTAGATAAACCATGTTGAGAAATATGTTGTTTTCTTTTTGACTATACTTGGATACTGTAGCACTGCGCTGTCTGGGTGTAAACAAACTTGTGATTCAGTTCTTTTCTGCCTCTGATGTCAGATGATTTTTCAGCTTCTTGTTTTCAGGCCACACCTCCACAGAAACACAAACCTGCCCCCTCGTTCTGCCTCTGATGCCAGGTTAGGACGTTATGCATTTCAGTCAGCAGGGGTCAGGCCAGTTTTAACATATTTTCTGTCTTGTTTCATCTCTCTGCCGTGGTATCCCTGCCTCCCGTGTGTTTCCTCTTTTTTTTTTTTTTTTTTTTTCTACACCTGGTGGACAATTCAAACACAAACACAGCACAAGCATTGAAATGGAAAAAAAGGAACAATAATAATGTAAAAAAAAAAAAAAGAGAGAGAAAAAAAAAAAAAAAAAAAAAAAAACAGACCGTAAGAGAATTTGAAGTATAGTATTACAGATTAATTTTGTATTGTATTTATTGTGTATAATGACACTTTTTAAAAAGAAATGTACATTTAGTAAAACTGTAAATTAAACCTTGCTTCTTTTATGAAACATAGCAGGTCGTCCTGTAATTCTTTCCAGCAGTTTATAGAGCCGGTCCCAAACTTAAGGGTTGCATTCCTTTGGATGACTAACGATGACCGAGCAGCGCCGTGTGATAGTCAGGAGAGGCTGGCTGCAATGGTGGCGGGGTGTGTTCTCTATCAGACAGCCAGCAGGTGGTGCATGGAAGTGGGATCACAGGGCTGGTTTGTATACTTCATCGCCCAGAGGGTTCACAGAGGTTGGGAGGAGCAACAGAGTCTTTATACTGATGAGGGGAAAATCTGTCACATCTGTAAATGTACGCCATGTTGCTGTAAGTTGAGCAGATAAAAACAAGTAAGACGTGGAGGAGTGCAGCACGAGGTGGTGGATATCACTGGAAATATGCAGAAGGACTCTGTGAGGTTATGTCATGTTAACTAAAAAAAAAAAAAATAGAAAAACAACTCCACCCAAATTATTTATTCACAACCCCCCCCTCCTCCAGGTCCACGCCCTCTGGCCACAGCTCATCCCTGCCCTGAGCAGAGTGTTCGTGCTGCCCACAGTACCGCCAGGCATCCCTGGAAGAGGAGGCGCGTTCAACTTGGAGAAGCAAAACAAGAGGGAGAGAAAAAATTTAGCCTCAGTGTGGTGTGTCTGAGTGTTGTGTTCTCTGTGTGAAGGAGCCCTGCCAGGTCTGCAGCTCATCTGAAATACATTAAACTCCAGCAGAAGAGCGACCCGCTGTAATCTGGCTGCGCTGAAGCTCCACTGAAGGTCTCTCTTTTTTTTTTTCTGCTGTCAGAGGTACACCCATACATGTAGCAGCAGCTCCTCCAAGAGACTGTTTTTGTCTCCTTAAGCCAAAATATTTTCCAGACTCCAGAGGGCAAGATTGGAGGGAGAAAGATCAAGGTCCCTGAAGACGTCTCCGTAATAACTTGGTAAATACTCCTTTTTTATAGCTTGAATATGATTCCACTGATCTTGTGTTTTAACTTAACTCGATTAGGGCTTCTTTATGAAAAGAATCTCTATTTGTGACTGATTCTAGAAGAAGAGTGATATTTAGTGAGTGCACAGTTCACAGTTTGCACTACGAAACTTTCTCTAAATGCTTTTCTGTTTCTTCATTTGGATCTTTAGGTTTTCCTCCCCTGATACTTGTTGCTACTGCAGGCTACACTGTGTCCTTGTTTCAAGTTCAAAACTGTGTTGCAATTGTGGTGCGCAAACCCCACAAGGCATTTTCCAACATGGTTTAACTTTAGAAATTGATCCCAGAGCTTAAACCAGACCCTTTTTATTTTCACTGGAAGCACATCAGTCATCTTTTACTCCTACAGCTCCTCGGCTGGCACAGTAGTTTCGTATGTAATCGTATATTTAATGTCTCCCCCTTAGATCTCCAGAGATCGCCATTTTGACAAGAACTCTTTCCACACTGGTCTTGTGACATGTCAGGACTGTGCTGCCTATTTTCCTCTGGGCAGACTTTGTTTGTTTTTTTAAGTCCCAGTTCAAATGAGATTTGCAAGAGAAGCTCTCCACAGATGAGTTAACGTCTGCTGACACGTGTCTTACCTTTCTGTCTTGTCTGTTTCTGTAATGAGCTGTGCTAATCCGCTGTTTCTGTTTATGTAGACTAAATTTAAAGATTATTCCTCAGGGGGTTAATTTGGTTTAAGAAACTTTCTCCTTCCATGAGCGTTTCCCGTTCTATTGAGAGGAACTGCAGGGGAAAAAAGGAACGTCTTACACATTTCACTGTAAAGAAATGAGCTGTGCCTGTGCAAATCACGGCACTGGGTTGGGTTTGCAAGTTTTCCAGCTGAACACCAACTTTTTCCAGGCATGCACTGACAATGCTTGGCAGACGCCTGGTGGGCTGAAGCTTGCTTCAGATTCCACATCCTTACTCTAGGTCGTGTCAGACTTTGATCAACAGCTGCAGGAACGCAAAGATTCCCTTTGCCATGTGGATTAATCGCCTTTCTTCTGTTTGTCTCGTTTTGTGTTCACACTTCAGGGGTTAAAGGTTTGTCAGTGTGGCGCCGATTCTCAAAGAAGAAACTCACAACTTCAAACGAAACGTCAGCCCTATCGGTCCCCTCGGCGTGTGCTGTGCAGGGTTCAAGGACAAGTGAGCAGCGTTCACACAAATACAGGAAACACCTGAAGATTTTCCAAAGTTCCGCCACAGGAAATACAGCTCCAAGCAAGAGACACAACTCTGACACTGATTTCTCTAAGAAGCTCCCTATCATCTTATTAACCAATCAACATGTCACGCTGGGGGCGGAAAAATGTGAAGAAGGCGCCTGAGGTGATTCGTACTGTGACAGAAGGGCTGAAGTCCTTGTATCGCAAGAAGCTGCTGCCTCTGGAGCAGTATTATGGTTTCCATGACTTCCACTCTCTCAGTCTGGAGGATGCAGACTTTGACAACAAGCCGATGGTGCTGGTGGTGGGACAGTACTCCACCGGAAAGACAACATTCATCAAGTAAGACGGCTTATCTCTACACCATACATTTGGTAAATTGTGTCTAACTGCTAAGTTTATAGTTTATTTAAGTGCAATTACTGAAAAAATCACAAGCTGTACGTGTGGCAGGTATTTGCTGGAGCAGGACATTCCTGGAAGCAGGGTGGGTCCTGAACCCACCACCGACTGCTTCACTGCCATCATGCACGGGGAGGTGGAGGGAGTCATTCCTGGGAATGCCCTTATCGTAGACCCCAACAAGCCTTTCCGTAAACTCAACCCATTTGGAAACACCTTCCTCAACAGGTGAGAGCTGGGGTTTTCTTCACAGAGGTGTTGTGTAAAATTTCCACTGAGGCAGCCAGTTAGATACCAGCGTGAAATGGACAGACTATGAGAGAACCCAATGAGGGAAAACAGGGAAGGAGGCAGAAAGTTTGCAGAAAATGTTTTTGCTCTTTGGAATTTCAAGGGCTCGTGCCAAATTTCAGAGCGAGGAGGCACTTGCCTTATTTGTGGAAAAACCGGAGAAAGGGAGCGATATCACTGAGAGGCTGATGAAAGCTCATGTACTCAGACAGGAACTGCAATCTGCGCAAGTTCAAAGACGAGGTCAGAGGGCTCAGCAGGGCAAAGACAAATAAATGAAGTCATGGATATTTGGAGGCTTTGGGGAACTGTGAGAGAAACCTAAAGTTCTTTCCTTCCGTGTTTGCTGTCTGAACTGCCAGATTTCTCTACATGTTTTTCCACTGCTGTAAACCAAGAAAGAGGTTTTGCTGTGATGTCAGCTGCTCGACGCATGCAGCAGTGACAGGAACATCCAGTGTTCCTGTTAATGGAGCTCCAACGTGAAGTACTGATGCAAGTTTTCCAGCGGGGTCCCTCGGCAGGGCGTGTTTGCAAACGTATTTGCGTCTGTGCTTTTGCTTTGGCTTCCTGTTCTGGGCACCGGTGGTCTCGTTAAACTCTTAAGCTACAGGAAGTGGTGTTGTTGTTCTAAGCCACACATCGTTAGCAGGACTTATTGTTTAATTCTGGCAGTAGTGGTCATTTTCCTTCAGGAAGCCCACAGCAATGCCTCCACACAATGGCCTCCAGTGGGAGGGACTGGATGTGAAGAGAGGGTTGCTTCCAATCTGTTGCTTCCATCACTGTGGCTGTTTTGATAAGAGTTGACCGTTTCTACATAATTTACACGCTTTCCATTTGCTCTGACAGCGTTTCAAACAACAGTCACCTCTGTGAGCTTCTCCCTTATCATTATTTATATGAATATCCCAGATTCCAGTGCGCCCAGATGCCCAACCAGGTCCTGGAGAGTATCAGCATCATCGACACACCGGGGATCCTGTCCGGGGCCAAACAGAGAGTGAGCCGAGGTGAGCGAGGTGGCAAAGGTGGCAAAGGTGAGGAGAGGGCATGAGGGGCCTGCAGAGACACACATCCCTGATCATCAGCTCACAAATCTCATCGCCTTGGCACGCCTGGCTAACTCATGGGACCGATTTGCTCTGTCACAATAACACTTGGCAACCGGGTAAAAAACAAAACATCTCAGCAGCCATAAAGCCGTAATCAAGCCCAGAGACTGAACAGACAGAAATTCTGTCAGCACATCTGGAAGAACGTACTGTTGAGAAATCATCATCTAACATCAGTTTTTCAATTTTCTACCAACCCATGCTCCAAGTAACCCATTATTCCAATCAGCCTGCATGAACAACTAACAAGGAAAAAGGGTCAGTACATCCAAATGATGAGAAACACATTTACTCGCTTACCACTGCTGCTATCTAGCAATGTGGATGGTTTGGGTTTTGTCAGCTGAGGTTTTGAAATATTCATTGCCAAAATGTTCTCCTCCACCCCAACACAATGGAGGTAAACGGAATGCTGCTCTGTGGAAATTAAAAATTACATTTTAAAAATTCGAGCATCTTTCCAGGAACCAGCGTCCAAGTTCCTCTGAGTAATCCAACCTGGTTCTTCTGGCGAGAGAGTCACTGGGACATTCTGTAATTCTGAAATAACAGCTTTAACTGGTGTTCTTTGTAGATGTACATTTTTTGTGCTGTGAGCGCCACAAACTGTAGTCCACTTAGAGGAAATTTGGAGATGTCCATCTGAAAACCAAAATTATCCATGTGGCTGTACCATCGGAAGATAGTGAGAAAATGTGTTGTTTTTTTTTTTGATGTTGTTTTTTTTGTAATTTTGGTGCACTGACTCTTTTAGTATGACCAGTTGACACAGGTGAAGAAATCTCTCAAAACTATAACTGATTACTGTTAGACTTAGTATATTTCACACATGATGTTAAAGGAGTGTTTTTGCTGGCATAAAGTGAAGCCTTGGTGTCTAAAAAGTGCAGCTGTTGGGGATTTGACAGATACAGAAAAGAGGCGTGAAGGATTTGTGTCTGTGTCGGCCTTCTACCCTCTCCTGCACCCTTTTTTATTTTATTAAGTGCACATGTAGTTTTAGGAATGTCTTACTTTGTCCATCTATTCTACTCAAACAGGCTATGACTTCCCGGCTGTGCTGCGCTGGTTTGCTGAACGCGTGGACCGTATCATCCTGCTGTTCGATGCCCACAAACTGGAGATATCGGACGAGTTCTCCGAGGCCATCGGAGCCCTGAAGGGCAACGAGGACAAGCTGCGCGTGGTGCTCAACAAGGCCGACATGGTGGGCACCCAGCAGCTGATGAGGGTGTACGGCGCCCTGATGTGGTCCCTGGGGAAGGTGTTCGGCACCCCGGAGGTTCTTCGCGTCTACATCGGGTCCTTCTGGTCAGAGCCGCTGCTGGTCACAGACAACCGTAAGCTGTTCGAGCTGGAGGAGGAGGATCTGTTCGCTGACATTCAGAACCTCCCTCGCAACGCAGCGCTACGCAAACTCAACGACCTGGTCAAGAGGGCACGTCTGGTCAGGGTGAGTGACTGAGTGCATTTTTGGCACGTCCCCATGTGCTCATTAAATGATTACTGATAGGAAAAAACAACCCTGTGCTATGCTTTTCTTAATCCCAGGTCCACGCCCACATCATCAGTTATCTCAAGCAGGAGATGCCTTCTGTCTTCAGGAAGGACAACAAAAAGAAGAATCTGATCTACCAGCTGCCAGTTATTTTCTCCAAGATCCAGCTGCAGCACAACATTTCTGCTGGAGACTTTCCAGACTGTGCTAAGATGCAGGTTCGTCTGAGGCACTGGTTTTCACTCCTGGGCACATCTGGGAGGCAGTTATATAAAGAATTCTTTTTACCTACATAAAATTGAACTACTACTACTTGAAAGTTACATCGCATTTTAAATCATTGCTATTCACTTTTTTAAAGGAACAACTGATGGTTCATGATTTCACCAAGTTCAAAACCCTGAAGCCGAACCTGATGGCAGCCCTGGATGAGCTGCTGTCGTCCGACATCGCCAAACTGATGCCCCTCCTGCGGCAAGAGGAGCTGGAGGCCGGCGAGCAGCCAGGCGTTCAGGGCGGCGCCTTCATCGGAACCCGTGCCGGACCGTTCATGGAGGGCGACCCCTTCGCCGAGGAGAACGGAGAGACATGCGAGGAGGAGGAGGACTGGGTGGTGACCAAAGACAAGCCCAAATACGACGAGATCTTCTACAACCTCGCCCCCAACGAGGGCAAACTGAGCGGCACCAAGGCCAAGGACTGGATGGTGAGCTCCCGCCTGCCCAACTCTGTGCTGGGCCGCATCTGGAAGCTGTCCGACGTGGACCGCGACGGCATGCTGGATGATGAAGAATTCGCCCTGGCCAGCCACCTGATTGAGGTGAAGCTGGAGGGCCACGGTCTACCGCCTGAGCTCCCCAACCGCCTGATCCCTCCGTCCAAACGCAGGCAGAAGGGCTCAGATGCATAGACATGTCACAAAGTCCCTGCAGCTGGGAGAGATTCTTCCCTGCTGGCTGCCACACTTATGCTACTGTTTGTATTTGCTCTTATTTCCCTCCCCAGACCCACATCCAAATGTTGTATGTGATGTGTACAACTCGTCCTCTGAGACTGATTTCAGTCTTGCACAATGGATCATACTGTATTTAAGTGTAAGTCATACCTTTGAGACTATAACAAGGGCTTGCTGCAAATGTGTATTAAAAGTCACACGGGTCTGGCTGCTTCTTTTTCTTGTTTGCACCTCAAAGTTTGCTTTTTTATGATGAGCTTTTAGAATTATATCTCCTTGTGTTTGCTGAGCAGAAGTAAGAAAATTAAAAAAAGGCCGGCGCCCTCTAAGTGAGCAGTATTCAGCGTGTATTTGAGAGAATACAGAGCAAAACCTTCCTGTATTAAAACATTCCTTCAGTGACTTAGATTCATGTTATCTTGGAGCTAATTTGTAGGAATTTCATTGATGGCATCATCTACAAATTGTATGTATTTTTGCTCAACTGATTTGTTTATAGCATTTTCTACTCAAAGTAGCAGCACAAACGTAATAACCCCAACGCATTTCACTTTGACGCTTTAAACGCCACGTTTTTGTGCCGACTTTATATATTATTTTTGTAATTGTTGCTGTTGTTTTGTATGTGCAGGAGCATAAACCTCAGTTGCATAAAAGAACATTAAATGCTGAGATGAACCTTTTAACTAGACTGAATGACTGATATATTACTGACTACTGTACACAGCTCCACCAACTGTTCTTATGTTAACTTTTATGTAACCGAATAAAAACTCCATGACTGTGTCTCGTGTGTTTCGTGACCTTTTTGAGTTGTTAAAGCGCCTGCGATCCAACATAAAGCACATAATGCAACGCTAATAGCTGAGAGCGTTTAACAAGATTTTCTTTTCTATCAAAGCTCACTTGGTCTCTCGGTGACGGAGCAGATAAACAGTGACTCACTCTCTCCCCTGCCAAGTCCCCATACCACCATTTTCCGAGGCTCTCTCCCCTCTCATTCCCACCATCTGAAGCATTTTCTCCGCCTCGCTCACACACACACAGTTAAAGAGAGTCTATTTTGTACCACCCCATTCCACTTTAGTTCCACATTCACATTTTTCACCAGCCTGCCTCTGCTTCTTGTTTGGTTTTGCTGCAAACTTGTAGCACAAACATGTGTCCCGCGTAGAGCTGTGTGTGTGTGTGTGTGTGTTTGAGGCTTTTCAAGGTTTCCCTAAAAGAAGGGGTGGCCTCCCCGCCTCCTCGTTCCACTCCTCCATGGAAAGAAACACAAATGAGAAACAGAGGCAATCCAGCTCTTTCCTCCCAGCTCTCTGGCTTACAGTGACTCACATGTGAAGAATGTGGTGGGCCGGCCCAGGAGTTATTAATAACCCCTTTCCTAGGGTCCGCTAAGTTTCCTCAGGATCTGAACACTGTACCTTTATGAAAGACGTTAACAACATCCCCCTATTTGGAGCGTTCCTGAGCGAGACCTGCAGCACACCGCACCCTCTCCTGTGCGTTTGAGGGAGAAAGAGGGAGGCGATGTGCGAAAAAAAAGCCAAGTGAGGTGGCAAAATTCAACTAAATGAGCTTTCTTGACTAGATATGAAAGTTATCCTGCCTGCCTGTATGTTACAGTCACTGCCAGCCACGCCATTTTAGAGAGTAGAATAAAAAATCCCCATAGCAGTTTGAACAATGCCCAGCTTGTTACATAATTAGGCTACGCTGAGTCATAAACCATCTCAAATATTTGTTGCTATACAGTGCTGCCAAAGCAACAGGGTGAAATTTGCAAGCAGGCCCGAATTACAGCAGATGACCTCCGCCGACACGAGAGATCCCCCAACAATGAAGCTTACTCGACAAAACCGGGGTCTCCTTGTACGTCACTGGCTGTTTATGTGGGGAATTCCTCACTAGGAGACCTGTGGTGGGAGAAAGACTGAGGCCATCAGCTCTGGAGAGGGGTGACATCTGGTGGATGCAGGATTCCTGGCAAATCTGACTGTACGCCGTGGTTTCCAACTGTAGGTGGCAGACTGGAGGCAAGTAGCTGCACACATTAAAGGACGTGTACGGACTTGGAAAGAAGTGAACCTCTGTGCTGTATGTGGAAAGTTATAGTTCCTGTAATCAGTCTGTCTGCATTCAGCTCTGACAGCACGATTTAAGAATCCATTTATAATACACACAATTGCACATTAAGACAGTTGTATTAAGAGCAGATTTCTTTGAGACCAAATTGATTTAGGGACAAATAACTGAGCATGCAAACACTGTGTCCAGATAACATCAATAAGCCATCCTCTACTTCAGTGGTTCTTAAACTTTTTGAGCCACGACCCCCAAAGATAACATAAGTTTGTGTTTGTGACCCCCCAATTTGAATTGTTAATATATCATGAGTAAGAACTTTGTTGTTCATGCACTAAAAACTAATGTATTAACTCCACAGGTTAATTTCTTTACATTAACACACTAATTAGCAATTTAAATTAATTTAAATTAATTTAAATAGCAATTTCCCTGAGGTTTTGTATTGAATGGATCAATAAAGTTTTATTCTTTTTTATTCTAATTCTAATTTTCTTTTGAATGAATGAATACATGAATTTAATTTATTTCGAACAAATGAAAGGGGAAAAAAAAATAAAAACAAAAGAGCAAAAAATAATAATAATATCACATAATCAAATCATAATATTAACAAGTTTGAAAAAGGAGTAGGAAGAAGTGTACACTTTTAATTTTGACAGCCCTAATACAAATTTATTTGATAAATGTAGGCTTTATTTTATTTTATTTTTTTACAATGATCTGGCGACCCCCTGAAATTATCTTGGGACCCCTATGAGGGTCCTGACCCCCAGTTTGAGAACCACTGCTCTAATCTTTGTTTTCAGTCGTTTTGTGTCAGTCTGTACTTTATCAAAGATCTTTCACAACGGTATTAGATAATATATCAGTCACAAATGAGTAAAAGCAGTTAGAGAAACTTTCATGTTTATTATTTATACAAAACCATGTTGAAAAATAACTCGGCAGGTTTAGCTTAGCTCAGACTATTCCTCGGCTTACCTGCCCACACATGGCACATTCTGACTCAAACCCTTAACATTCAGAAATATTGGAGTAACAAAATAAGCAAACTGCTCTGCAACACAACGAAGGCAAACCTGTTGTGTTACTGTTTAGAAACAAACAACATGTATCAAAGATAAAGTTATACTGGTGCGTATAAAAATATCTGTTGAGTCCACAGTCCACACATGGCACATTCACTTAGAGCTGAAGGACTCACTACAGCTTCTCCTTAAATGTCACAAAAAGGAACATTTAATAACTGAATTCAAAACAAGAATCTGATTTGACTGATTTCCCCAACTTTTCTTGTGAAACATTTTAGTGGCTTCTTTGGTGCTTAGAAGCTGAAATGGTTTTTGATGTCTTTGATCTGCTTCATCATGTCACCGATTTGCTGTCCCTGTTCTCTGAGGACGTCCTGAACAACCTTCTTCTGGTGGGCGTTGAGGGAAACCGTCGTCCTGGCTGCGGGCAGGTCTTTGTCCACCTGTGTCTTCTGGTAGTCCATCTTCATGTTCACCTGTCTGATGCAGTTGTCCAGGTGTTTCAGTTGATCGCTGATGCTCTGCAGCTCCTTCTTCATATCCTTTTCGCTGTTTGACAGAACGGGCAGTTGGCTCTGCAGGCTGCACAGCACTTTTTTCACCCTGTTCATGATGGTCTCCTGGCGATACTTTGCATCTTCGTACTTGTCGGCCAACCTCTCCGCTGCCTCTCTCAAGCTCTTCCTCTCCTCCCTGCACAGAGTCATCTCCTCCAGCTGCTTGTTCTTCTGGCCCGTCAGGAGCTTCACCCTTCTCTGCAGCTCTTCACGGGCCATGTCCTGCTTGAGAATGTACTCCTCCCTGAAGACCTGCGTGGCTCTGCTGAGGAGCTGCAGACACTCGGGAGGTGGCGGTGATGTGTCCTTGTCCCCTCCTTTGAGCACAAGAGGATTGGTGGAGCTACGTGCCAGGATGTTGCGGATGTGCAGCTCGAAGGAGTCGTCGGCAAGCCCACGGAGAGGGGAGCTGGCCGAGCCGGGACCGGAATGGGAACAGAGTAGAGGAGGGGAGGGAGGGCGAATGGAGCTCAGCAGGGGCAGAAGGATGCACTCGTAGGTGCTGGTGATGCAGATCATGGTGGCGCCCAGGGAGAGGTCAGACACAATCAAAAAGCCACGAACCGGAGCTGACTGACTGGTTAGGAGCGGTCTGGTACAAAGAATGTGCTCTACGATGCATCGCTTCTCAGCAGCCAGCTCCTGGAGACTGTCCTTATCCTCCTCACTGGACCCGAGGAATTTCTGCAGCTTGTTGACCCAGATTAGCCCCACGCTGTGTACTCCTGCTTCATGGGTGCAGTGGTACCTCTGCAGACACAGCGGGTCTCTGTGCAGTCTGATGGGGCAGGTAAAATCAAACTCCTGAGGCTCCTCATCCTCTCCGGTGGCCACTTTAAGTGTGAGCTCCAGCTCAACGCACTCAAACACATACAGAGCCGGAACCGCCTCAGTGCCCCGGATCCACTTTTCCACTGCCCCCGTTTCCTCCTCCTCCTCAGACTCCAGAACCACACAGTGATACAGGGTGCCTGTTTCTGTGGCGATGACCAGGATGCTGGGAACACAAGGCAGGCACAGGATGGCACAAGCATCATAGCCGTAGTTATCCTCGGCTGCAGGGTACATGGGGAGGGGTCCAACAGGTTTACGCACACTCACACCGTTTGCCTGGCTCGTGTAGCTCACATAGGTCTCCCCGTTTTCGTAGAGGATGTACAGAGGGTAGGACTGCTGCTCTCTGCAGCGATGAACCGCCGGCTCCCGAGGAGGGGACGAAATCGGCCCAAAATCAAACGCCACCGCGATCTCTCCCAGAGACGCAGCATAGGAGCGGACCGGACGGTGAACGCTGCTGTCATCCTCCGACTGTGACACCGGCAGGACTTTGGCCGGCGTCTGGGGCGACTTCAGGCCGTAAAACCGGATGGTGTTGTCGGACGTGAGCAGGACCAGATGGGGCTCGTCGGTCTCGCTGGGGTACCAGGCCGCCTGCCGCAGACTCACCGACGGCGAGCTGGTGAAGAAGCGCTCCGCCACCGGGATGGTTTTGCAGTTGATTTTGTCCCGTCCGCCCTCGAACTCGGACCTCTTGCCCCACCGCTGAGGGAGCTCCAGCACCGAGACGCCCCGCTGCCCGACCAGCGCGACGTGGTGCTGCGTGGGACTCACCAACACCTGGCACACCTCGAACAGCGGAGGGTTGATGCACAGCAACGTCTGATACTTCCCGCTGCTGGGATTCTCATCCGAGTTCAACTGCCGCAGGTTGGTCGTGTAAAACAAGCGGTCCGCGTCGTCCCACACGAAAAAGTCTCCGCCCAAACAAAACGTGAGGTTTTTAACGACCCCTCTGTCATTGCCGTTGGTCTCTGAATCCAACTTGTCTCGTATAATTTTGAAAATGGCATGATTTGGTAAGTCATTCAGCCAACGCTCTGCGCTGAATGCCGCCATCTTGATCAACGGTCTGATCTCAGGAGGAAGCAGTCAATCGCAACGCGAGCGTTTTACGACAGTCGTATTACGTCGGCCGGTGTCGTACATTTTGCAGAATCACCATGGCGTTGAAAGAGACTGCGGGGCTGTATGAGACTCTCAAGGCAGAATGGAACAAGAAAAACCCAAACCTGAGCAAATGTGGGGAACTTCTTAGCAAACTTAAGGTAGAGTCGCACATTTATTTGTCTCTTTTTGATCGTATCGTTTGAGTTTAACCTGGAACTGTTTGGAAAGGTTAGCGCTGTTAGCGAACGGAGCTAGCTTGCTAACTTATGCTAGCCAGGCTAACGCTGTTTTCAGAGTTTTTTGACAACATTGGAGAAACTTTAAACATCGATAATGGTATTAATTCATGGTAATACCATCGAGGTTTCATTCACTAGCTGTATGTTTGTGTTTAGGAGATCAGTCAGTGCAACCTTTTTTGGATTTCTGTCACGACAGTCAGGAAACAAGTCATTATTGCTAACGTCAACGTAGCTTTTGCTAGCTTTATTTACTGTTTGACAAGTTTGACCTGGAAATGGCATCCATGACAAATTGAAGTTAATTAATATGCTCATCTTTTCCTTTAACGTTACATCGATGTAATATACCCACTTGAAGCGATTTATCAAGGCTAATAACACAATAATAAAAAACAACAACACACAATTAAATGAATGTACACACATAAATTAAACTAAATAAGGATAAAAGAGTAATGTCACTTTCATTAATAAAGAAAGCAAGTAAGGTCTGAAGGGGTGAAGACTCCACACTGGCCTCAGTGTGCACCCTTATGTCAAGTCCATCCACCCCTGGAGCAGTCTGCCAGGAGTGCTTTGCTTAGGTGGAGGTGGAGGTGGTAGGGAAATCAGAGTCGTGGGTGTTTTTTAGACTGCAAAACTGGTCTCACAGGGACAACCACTGGTTTGTGGCTGTGGAGACAATCTCAGACGTCTACAGACTAGTTTGCTTTTGGAGACATGCACTGCAGTCATGCCCTCTCATGATGATTTACATCTAAAGGATTTATGTGAAACTGTCAAACATTCTATCAAACATTTTTCCTTTTGCAATTTATAAAGTGTCTATCGCTGGTAGATATCACTGTAAATGTATCGCCCAAACCTAGTTGCAACTCAGTTTGAAATCTTAGTGTAGTCATCAAACTCTGTGGTTTACTTCTGTTATGCGTGAATAGTATTGTAATCTTAGTTTTTGAAAGAAATAGGTCTGTTTTAAGTCTGAAATTTGAAGGACAATAACCACTAAATTCACTTTTTTTTTTTTTTTCAGATTTCATTACTGGAGCTGAACTTTTTACCTACAACTGGGTCTGCACTCACCAAGCAGCAGCTCATCTTAGCTCGTGAGTACAAAGAAATCAAGCTGACGTCCATATTAATCATGAATGGTAAGGTAGTGCGCCGCTTGTCAAAATAATATCCCGACTGAAGACAAATTTGTGTCTGTGTTTCAGGTGATGTCCTTGAAATTGGAGCCTTGTGGAGTATCCTCAAGAAGGACATCCCATCCTTTGAGAGATACATGGCTCAGCTAAAGTGTTACTACTTTGATTACAAGTAATGTCACCTTTTCGTTTTGCATGTGCAGACTCTGTTAAACAGTACTTGATGGTTTTCCTGACATTACTCTTTATGTGCATTTGTCTTTAGGGATGAACTGCCTGAAGCAGCCTACATGCACCAGCTACTTGGACTGAACCTGCTCTTCCTGCTGTCACAGAACCGTGTGTCTGAGTTTCACACAGAACTGGAGAGGTTGAGCGCACGAGATATTCAAACCAACGTATACATCAGACACCCAGTGTCCTTAGAGCAGGTGTTGTAATTTACTCTTACACAGCACAATGTAGGATTTGATATTGTTTTACTATTCTGCCGTAACCAGATGTTACAGGGCAAATGTTGAAATTTGTGTGTCCAGTTCGTCATTTTACCTTCAAATGACTGAATTTGGTTATTCAAATAAACAGTTTGCTGTAGGAACTGTACTGTTGTTAGTGGCAGGGTAGCAGTAAATTACTTGATTAATTAGTTTGAAGATCACATTCACTTTGTTTGTAATTATTACTTTAAAACTGCATTTCTTTCAGTTTTGATACTGCAGTAGATGTTTCAGTAGCTGACCAAGCTTGGCTGCTAAATGCTGAGAGTCCTTTCCAAAATACATTGTGAAAGTTGATTCATAGACAATCTACATGCTTCAGTACGATTTAATAGTTTTATTTTGAGATAGATAGAAGTGTTATGTGGTATTTGTTCTCATGAGCACCCGTGATCTGAAATATGTCCTTAGAAACATGCTTGTCTCTGGGGACTTTTGCCCCTTTTAACAATAATATGTCAGTACTGAGTTCTATGTAAATAATATTTTATATCCTCTCCTGGCTGTTTCAGTACTTGATGGAGGGAAGCTACAACAAGGTATTTCTGGCCAAAGGCAACATCCCTGCAGAGAGCTACACCTTTTTTATAGATATCCTGCTTGACACAATTCGGTAAGGACCACAACAGTCACCACTACAGTTTCACACTTTAATGAATGCAAGCCTAGCTGTGTGCTTTGTAGCCAGTGCTGTTATTTGGTTTCCCCCTGCAGATAAGTTTTTTTTTTTGTCTATTTTATGTCAATGCAAATGTATCTTATGGTTGTGTTGCTTGTATAATACTTTGACTGTAGGAAATCCTTGCATATGGTTGGTTTGCAGGTTTCCAGTGTAGTTACAGTTAGCAATTTTAATCTAAATGAGTAAACTAAGATGCAGGTAGCAACAGCATAACTGATGGTTTATTCTAAACTACTCGTTATCTCATTATTTGTTTAAATGTAAACTGAATGACAGTTTAAACACATCCTTGCTTTTCTTTCTTTGAGTGCTCCAGTGGGCTCTGCAAAGGAAACGACTCTTATCTGAATTATTTTCTTTTATCAGGAAGGATGCCTTTTTGTTAATTGTTTATTTTCCGAGGATCAAACTAAAACTGTGACCTTTTCACTTGCAGGGACGAGATTGCAGGTTGCATAGAGAAGGCGTACGAGCAGATCCAGTTCAGTGAAGCCACTCGTGTGCTTTTCTTCAGTTCCCCAAAAAAGATGACAGACTATGCCAAGAAGGTACGTGTATTTCATTTTGGAATCAGATAGAAAACAGTAAATCCCTCCCTTGATTAAATAATTTAAAATGTTTTTTTTTTTTTTTGTATGTATCTGAAGTTGTGCTCAAACATAACTTGTAAATTAAGTGTTGATGCATGTTCTCATTTGGGTGTTATTTACCAGAGAAAATCACCAGTGACAAAATAATCAGAATGTGCATTTAAAGGATTTGTATAAACTAGTTTTGGTAGATGTGGTTTAAGTTACTCAAGCCTGAAATACACATTGTTTATCAAATGGTCAGAATTAACAGGAAAATGCATGAGTTTGTCAAATACGGTACCTCAGATTCATTGTCTTTACTGTATGTGTGCTGATCATGCTTATTGTTGTGCATAGTCATCTCCTAACAGGCTCTTTCTAAACCAGGAATAAGCCTCATGCTTAAGGAAAACTAGCTTTTTTTAGGGACTGGTGCCTAAAACATTTATATAAACTTTAAATCAGTTCATTAGCAACATCCCACTTTGTAACTGTCATTACTACTGGACGTCTTTCATCATTATTGGACTTGAGGATGTCAGTGTTAAAAGCAGATACAGTTTCTACATGCATTGAACACTGATGGAATCTGAAAATATGACGTGTGATAAAGAGTTCTTTCTCGTGTAAGACAGACATCTTTCATTGAGTTTAAGTTCGTTGCTTAACAAGTTATTCTAAAGCTGAAATAAAATCCTCCTCCTACATTGTTGCATCCAAACACTGACTGTTTCATTTCTTTTTTTTCGTCATCTCAGAGGGGATGGAGTTTGAGCGCAGACGGCTATTACTCTTTCACCAGTCAGCAGCAGCGGACAGAGGAGGTGACCATCCCCTCCACGGAGCTGGCACAACAGGTCATCGAATACGCACGACAGCTGGAAATGATTGTGTAATCCGCCCCCAGGAACACTCTCAGCCATGTACAGACACACTCAGACAAACACGCCACCGATCCAGTGTACATCCAGTCAGCTCAGATGCAGTTTCACTAAAGGGATATGACTTCATTTATTGCCAGAGCGGTTGATTTGTTGCCCATACCTCAAAAAATCAATCAACATTTATCTTTTCTGTTCTCATAAATCCACCTGCAGGTCTTCCTGTCAATTGAGCACTTGCTACATGTCTATCTTTAACGAAAGATATCTAAAGGTTTAAGAGTTCATTATTTTACCCAAGATGCCGTCTGTCATGCATTAAAACAGAGCTTTTTATGGATCATTCCCAAATAGTGATAGCAAAACAAGAACTTCATGCCCGGCCACTTTGAGAACTTGGGCCTCGGTTCTTTTACAACTACAGCGTTCAGTTCATCACAATCACCACCCCGTGGCTTCTAGTGTCACACAACTGTCAACACACCTCAAGCTTTTCTTTTTGTACACAAAGGTTTCTCCTCAGTAGAACTCACAGAAATGTATTGCCCTTGCCTTGTATCTGCAACCAAATGGTTTGCCATTGAAGTTTGTGTTTTCTAAATAGTAACGCCTCTTCCTCCCTCGATGGTTTGTAATCCAGTTGATCTTACAATGCAAATATTTGTCTGCAATAAACGACTCGGAAAATAAACTTTTTGAACGACTTGGCGTTTCAGTTTTTGTCTTTTACTCCACGACTCTGACTTCAGAGACAAGTTAATGTGACCTGTAGGGCTACAGCTAAGGATTTATGTGCAGTGTCAATTCATCTGTTGTTTATTTTCTTGAGTAATCAATTAGTTGTTTGGTTTATAAAATGGTGGAAAATGTTGATTAGTGTTTCTCAAAGCAACAAATACTTTGTCCACAACATGAAGACGTTCAGTTTGCTGTCCTAGAAGAAGAAATCAGAAGATGTTCCATTTTAAGAAGCTGAACCGTAACTGACCAGTTGTTGCAGCTCTGCTAACCAGTATATGAATGTGTTCTGTCACTGGTAAGAATCTCCTCCCTCTTCCTGTGTGAGCTTCTGTGATGATCCACTGAGGCTCATGCAGGTGGTTTGGGAATACGTTAATCAATTAAAGTGATGGGTCAAACAGAATAAAAGAAAAGAACTCCATCCCCAGTTTTGGGTGTTTTGTTGAATAACTTTCCTCCGATTATGTGGGGATGGGATGATGTCCTGTTTCAACCTGATCATTTCCCCCCATTAACAATTTGGTTTTCATTTCAGGTTTTGAATGTTGTTGTTTTGAAGCAGTCAAACTTCACTGCTGTGAACTTTCCTGCTCAGTGGCGACAGTTTTTTCCTCTTACTGCCACCTTCTGGTTGAGCCTTTCATTTCTTTGCCAGTTTCCGTCTCAGCTTGGCAGCCTCGGTATCACCACTCACAGATTTGAGCTTTTAGCAACAGTGTTATTCCACTAATGTCACGTCAGTGATGTCATTCAAACACTGTTCATGCTTCAGTACTTCACCAACACCTGGGTTTATAGTTGTTTTGCTGTTGTTTTTAAGCCTTGTTTGTTACTCGGCAGGTGATTCTTGCTTTGTTCACATTAGCAGGAACACGGTTGTATTTTCTTCATCTTGGCTCTTGTTTTTTCCCATGAAGGTTTTCTGTCGCGACACCTTTGACGCCTTGATAATGCGAGTACCTCCGCTTCATGCGTGCATCGTGTCATTTCAGAAGTCCTCTCTTGATGCTCTCTGCTCTCTCTAGCTCAGGGGTCTCGAACTCCGGTCCTCGAGGGCCGCAATCCTGCATGTTTTAGATGTGTCCCTCTTCCAACACACCTGATTCACATGATCAGGATCGTTATCAGGCTTCTGCAGAGCTTGATGCTGAGCTGATCATTTGAATCAGGTGTGTTGGAAGAAGGAAACATCTAAAACTTGCAGGATTGCGGCCCTCGAGGACCGGAGTTCGAGACCCCTGCTCTAGCTCATATATTACCAGTAAAAGTCTTCAAGAGGCAGGTCAGCACTACTGGAGCCATCATGTTTCTATCAAAATGTATTTACACTTACAAAGAACTCACCTGCATTCTCCCTGAGACGAGGAACCTTGTTTTTCTCTGCTGTGATGGTGTAAAACTTCTGGAGTCTTTATATTTTGCTGTGCATTTTCCTGTCGCTGTGCTAGAGATGTATTTTATTTCTCTTTGGTGTCATTTCCTACATATGTGAGGAATGTCTTGACTGTTCCTGGCTTAATTTTTCAGGGACATTCTGAAGGTGGCTCGAGGTGTCTGATCTCAGAGCGGCAGATTCTCCTGCATTTATTTTCACATCACGACACGGTCCAGCGTTCTAGCCTGGTGGTGCACTGGTTTTGTTGTTTTTATCCAGAGGTTTTGGGGGTTTTTTTGTTTGTTTTTTGCAGAAGATGTGTGCTGTTGAGTTGCTCTAACAGCTGAGGAAATAAGTGGAAACACCTCAGCGTCTGGTGAAATGTTCAGACTTGTGAATGTTTTGTTCGTTGCTTCCAGGAGCAACAAGAGCAAGAAGTTGGTGGATCCTTGTGAGTATTAATGAAACATCAGTCACCCACCAGAGCTCTTCAGAATCAGCAGGTTTCTTTGTGTAGTAACTTTGGATATTTAATAAAACCATGCAAAAGTTTACCTTCATGTGATTCTGGAAACTGTCCATCTCCTGTACTTGATATTATAAGAGCTCAAAAGTAATGGAAAAAGTCGTGCAACCTCTCGTGTAGGGTCAAAGTGGTTATCCAACTGTGGGTTGGTAGAGTTTTGTACACTTTTCCCAGCTGATGAACATCAATAACTATTTTTCTGAGGGCTTATGAAGATCAGACTTTGATAAATTCCTATTCTTTGAATAAAACAAGGCACCCACTCACACCTGATTTTCATTCCATTGATTAAAAACACCTGAATCTAATTTAACCCTTAAATTAACCAATAATCCTGAAGGTTAACATATTTCCAAACTCACAGATGTAGGATAATTTTCCTCAATAAATAAATGAACTGTTTTTTCCCCCCTCTTCTTTCCTCATTTTTAGAAATCTGTTTTTAGAACTTGTGTACAATACTGATGTTATAGGTCATATTATGCAAAAATATAGAAAGTTTAAGAGTCTGCTATCTTTCTATTGCCACTGTAAAATACTTCCTGAAGCCCTGAAGACGAATTGTGTGAATGTAAGTAAAAGATTTAATGTCAATTACAAGATAAACCAAGTTAGTGCAGTAACTTTAGGGTTGTGCCAGGTTGCTCACTTAAATTAAAAATAAGGAAATAAACTTCTTCTTAGATACTGTAAAGAACAGCACACATCATGTAAGGTCGTTTATTTATTAAGGAGTGTTACGCTAGCTAACCTCAGTTGCCGTAGCTAGTGTTAGCTTGTGAAACTAGCACACTTCATTTGAGGTAGCTAGTGTTAGCCTGTATGAGCTTTTTTTATTGTTAAAGTAGTCTTTAGCGAGCTAACTTCCGTTAAGGTAGCTTTTGTGAGCTTGAATTAGCTTTTTGTTGCTCAAGTAGTCTTTTGCGAGCTAACTTCAATTTAGGTAGGTAGTGTTAGCATGTATTAGCTTGTTTGTTGATTAAGTAATGTAGAGCGAGCTAACTTCCGTTGCGGTAGCTAGTGTTAGCCTGTATTAGCTTGTTTGCTAATGTTTACTGAAACTAGCCGTTCAAGCTACAATTATTTGTTTATTTGGCTAATTAGCTGGTTATTGTTACATAGGTTAGATCTGCAGAAGCCAGAAAAACAAATAGTGTGAAATGTGTCGTCACAACTTAGTTATTGTAATTGTGTGATCAAATAACTTCAAGCAGAGAGACAAAAAGGTATTATTTTAGCATGAACAAAAGGTTTAGTTTCTGTCTAATCTGCTGTGTGGTGAACATCTGTGAATAATTATGTGACCCTAACTTTAAATTGTATCTAATGATTTAATGTCCTGAAGTTCTGTCTGGGGCTGAACAACTAATCGAAATATTATCGATATTAAAATAGTAGTCAAAATTATCCGAATATGAATATTTTTTGTTTGTTAAATTGTTGTATTTTTATCTATTTATTCATGTGTTTTTCATATCTTTCGACCACAGACCTGGATGTACATTTTTGTCTATTTGTTAATTTTTAAATTTTTTTTTATTTTTACATTTTTTTCTTTTTGGCATAATGAAATCTTTAGTCTGAAACAGTCAAAGAAGCTGTTGGCTCACAAATTAATGTTCAGGTTCAGTCCTCAGTTAACATTTTGGAGAACAGTATCACTATATGGTTGCAAATCTAGTAAATGTTCTGTTTACTTACACTTTGTGACACTATAATGAATTACAAAGCATTATTTTATCCTGATCCTGAACCGTTGAAGTGTTTGCATGTGCGGTCATTAAGGTGCTGACCTTGGTGCTGAAAAGTAACCTGTAAGTCTAATTGGACACCTTCTACAGGGGTGTCCATGTTAAAACACTTTGTGGTTGAATCAGCATATTTTAGTCTTGTATTTAACATCAGAGTTGAATAAACTAAGCAGATCAAGCTGTGCTAACTTGTTGATCCATGTAAAATATTTTTTTCTCTTGAAGTTGTCGCCTTCCAGGATCTACAGTGCAGGAAGCCACAGAGCAGCACCTGGACCTTCAGCTTCTCTGGTATGTTGCTGTTGATCCAATGTTTGTTTGTTTTCAGGAAAGAATTATTACCAAAAAAAAGGGGGAAAAATGACATCAACTTAAATACATTTAGGCTTCTGTATTACCGGCCTCTAGTTGTCACCAGTGTCCTTAAAAACAATTACTCACAAACGTCCAACTACAGTTAGAAGAGCCTACATGTTATTTGACTTAGTGAAAACTCCGCTATCTAAACAAATCCTCTTTTTTTCCCCTTAAAAAAAAACCCAAAAAAACATTGCATTCTAATCATTCAATCATTAACTAATCAATACATTTCCAAATATGTTTATTTTTAACTTATTTATTTTTTATATAGCACTTTTAAAACAAATGAAATGCAATGTGTTTTACAGATTAAAGGAATAAAAATGCAAAAAAAAATTACAAACAACGTCAACATCATGTTATAAAGGTAGGTTTCAAAAACACAAGGATTAAGGAAGTGAGGAAAACACCAGATGAAAACAAATGAAATTCGAATGAAAAGTAAAATGAAATATATCTGAAAAGATAAGATAAACTTTATTCCTTATCAGGGAAACTTCCATGTTACAGCAGCTAGACACAGGCATGGAACAAGAAGGAGAAGAATGGCAAAGAGAAGGCGAAAAATAAAGATATTATAAATGTTAAAGATTCCTGTGCTGGGCTGAGCTTCCAGGATTTCAGGATCCTAACAAACGTCTCAAACAACAACCATAAAGCATAGTTTTTGCAAAGTGAAAACAGCAGGTTTATATATTTATGGATAATAAAAGAGGAACAAATAATGAACTAAGTTTATGGTGCTGCAGAATTTAACACTTGTTGAAGTTGTTGCTGTCCATGGTGCTGAAACATGTGCCGCTGCCATCACCGGCACTGGAAACCTTGCAGGAGATTGGAGCTAAATTTTGGCTAAAATGAAGCAAATAAAATCAGCATGGGGACATAATAATGCACCAGACTTGTGTTTTAATGTTTTTAAAAAAGCACAAATACTTTTAGATTTGCAAC